GGTTCAATCCCAGTTCAACGACCACAAAACACTATGAGCATCTTCTCACTGATGTCATTTTATTTACAAAAACGTAATTGCGTTCATCTGATGACTGTAAAGGGTTCAATCCCAGTTCAACAACCACAAAACACTATGAGCATCTTCTCACTGATGTCCTGTGTAAGCACCATAATCGGGTTGATGGCCAACAAGTCAAGTATTAGTAAGGTAACACAGAATTAAGAATTAGATAATCTAAAATTGTCTTGTGCTCTTGTTCCTTTTTTTAATGCAAATATCACCATTATCAAAAAAAATTGTAGCTTGTAGTAAACAATTGTCGTTTGTTGCGTAGTAAGTACTACACTCATTGGCAGGGAGCATTCCCACTAATGATGCATTTATATATCTTTCCTTTCAAGTGTTACAAAATCTGATACTTGCTGGCTGCACACCTACCCAACCAACTGCTGAGAGGCCAACCCACCACCATTTATTTTTTTCTTACTCTTTACTATTTAGTATTTACTCCCACCAGTCCTAATTACCTAATTCCTTTCAACCAATGGGTAATTCACTCTTTTTTCCCCGTGAGAAACTATGATCTAGGGACTGATCATTGGTAAGATATATAAACGATTTCGAGTAAGGATGACAATTTCCTACACAAATACAAACCATAGGTAAACCTTTACACCCAAAAGGCGGCCCAAATACACAAACTTAGCTGAGCGATTTGTGACAGATATAGTTATTATATTATTAATTAAGGGATGGGAGGGTTGTATTCGTGTTCAAACGGAGTGGTTATTATGGTTTTGAGAATGATAATTGGTTGATTTGGTTAATCACTAAAGAGTTGAGTGTTCCTTTCTTTCGAACCAATAAAAAAATAACTCATTGATGTATCTATACTGTATTTGTTCTTTTAGAGGGTATACAAAAAAAAAGGAAAAATAATTTAGATAAATCTCATAAATCATGATGGATGAAAATCTTAAAGAGAAGCATCTTTTCAACATATGATAATTGCTAAGAGACTAAGACAATGCACATATATATATTCAATTAATTAATATCATACCGGTGGCATATAATTTTGTTAGGTGGCTACTTCTAATGACTATATAATAATTATATTAGTTGTATATATTTATGTTAATGATTAACTATATGTTGATTGTCATGTGTTATTCATTATATATATAAATTGCAAACTTATGCATTATAAGGAAAATTTTATTACCTAATGATAATGTTATGTTATAGTTGTTAACCCGACTAATCGATTAACTAAACCGACTGAACTTTAGTTTGGTTAATTTTTTTGGTGTATTAGTTTGGTCGTTTGGTTATGATATTGTGTATTCCATGGTTAATAATATTTAGGCTTAAATGGGTTGGTTATTAGTATGGTAACCAATTGAACATCCCAAGAAGGTTGGGTTGCAACACAAAATTCACGGGCTACAAAACTTGCATCTTATCACTCTTGATACGAATCATACCGTTCAGATACTATCGTATTAGGCAGCGGCGAATCGAGGGGAGCCGCCCCCGGGCTACGGTCCAGCCCTCCCCGAATTCAGAGTTAGTATAGTTCTTGTAAATTTTCAATTTTAGGTATTCATTTCAGTGCTCGTTGGGTTACGGTCCAGTCCTCTTAGTTTCTTTTCAAATGTGGCACAGTGCTCTATCCTATCCTGAATCTGCCGCTGGTACTAGGGGAGTAGTATGATTCACATTACAAGTGGTAAGACACATAATAATTTTGTAGGTTTGTAGTTCTGAATTTTATACCCTATCTTTTCCCCAGTAATCAGTGATCTTCACATCAAAGTTTAAGAGAGTTTAAATTGAGATGAGCCAGGTAACAACACAATAAGCATATGATCCATGCGTCTAACTCTAAATATGTGACAAGTCAATTAAAAATGTTACCGCCACCTAGTAATGCTAATAAAAAAGTTGGACCCAAATTCAATATACTTAAAATCATCTAAAATCTTTGCTCCTCGAAATTCTTAATTTTAGTAATTTGGAGAGAATTCGATACTCCAAATCCTAGTTCGGCTTGAGTCTTGATCTCTAACGCTCTCCCGCATTTAAATTCTTCTCCATCCACCTCATGGATTGCTCTTTCCTCCAATGTCAATAGATTATGTCGCTCCATCTAATGCTTTTAGTTGCCTCATTTCCCACTTCCACGACTAGAGGTGTGTTATCATAGGAATATAAATCGACACAATTGAAGAATTTGTAACCACAAGAGAATTTGGTTCATCATCGACCGTAGAGAATAAATCTAATATCTGTATTCGATGAAATTTGAAATCCACAAAGACTACTTTGTTGGATAAGCTTATGCAGATCTCTGAGTGGTGAAAATGAACTTGATTTGTCGTGCAAGATTTTATACTTTATGAATCTCGATTTCTATTTCTTACGAACTTTCAATTGAGTACAAAGAGACAAATGAGGACAAAAAATGGAAATTGAAAGAACAAAGAAATTATATAGGAAATTGAACGAAATTACTACGCCATCACATATACTGTTCGTTGCTCTTACAATTTGTCAACCCTTATGTTTTCTGAAATCAGGTTTGATTATAGTATAAGGACAATATGTTACAAAACCCTAAAATCGGGACCAATATTATCGTTTTTTTGGTTAAAGGAAAGTCTCCCCTTTATGGCGTCCATCATCCGCACAAAATGGGCTCTTCTGGATTTTCTGAACAACAGAAAGAAGGAAGGAAAGAAAGAAAGAAAGAAAGCAAAAGAAGCAACATTCCCCACTTACAAGAGTCAATGATGACACGACGGCGACCACCCAACCCAAACCCACTCTACCCGCCACCATAAATGGCATGCAATGCCGATCTCTTGTCCTTCTCCGACTCAGATAAATCCCCCCCTCTTTCCCTTATCACTTGCCAAGAAAGACTCTGCCGCTTACTCACTTCCCAATTTACTCGATTCAACTCGATCAGCCTTCGAGTTTCTGTGTTCCTCGAGAGGCATGGCAATGGCGCCCAGAGCGTATGTTATGGCGCTGGTTCTGTCGGTGGCGGCTGTGATCCATGCCCATGGAGCCGTTCACAAGGTTGGAGACTCCGCCGGCTGGACTACGATTGGGAGCCCCGATTACAAGCAGTGGGCTGTCACTAAGACCTTCGAACTCGGCGACGTAATCCGTAAGTCTCGGCCCTTTCTTTTGGTTTCCGTAGACCCACACCACCTGTTTGTTTAATTTCCTCTGAGAGAGAGACTTCCCCTGCTGCATGCAAACTTTGGGGGGGGGGGGGGGGGGGGGGGGGGTTCTCTGTTTTAGTTAATTTGCTGAAAGTTCAGTGCTTTCTGATTCATTTCATTGACCCACTTGGATTTTCCTGTCTCCCCCCCTTGATTTATGGCTCCCGTTGTTGATTCAGTGGATTTCTAATTCATCCAAGAACTGTTTGTAGTCTTCTGCTGAGTTATGATCTGTGGATGATAGTGTTTCCAATTTCCACAAAGGAATTTGTTTATTGACCCAATTCAATCCATCCACTCACACCCATTTCTGATGGTCCCCTAAGGCACGCAGGCACAATCTTTCTTCTCACTCAAACCCTTACCCGCATGCTTCAGTTTGATGATTATGTATGTCACTGTCAGAACTTCGGGATCTGGAAAGTAAACAACCACCCACCTTTGGAATTAAGCATCTTAAAAGCGACAACTTTCTTATCCCACAATCCACTGTGCTCGTGCGTTGCATCATGATTATGCCGTCGACTGATCTGTTATGTCTCTTTCCTGCGCCGAATCTTGCATTTGTGAAGAAATCCCTAAATGAAAGAAAAGAACTAGAGAATGATGGGGGTTTTCCTCCATTTTTCATTGTCGATGAAAATGTAAGTTAAAGGAAGAAGGCTACTCCACAATGGCCTTTGCCACCGACTTATCAGGTGAGTCTTCAACAGACGAGCTGTGTTGATGAGGATAACCAAAGTTTAGGAGAGTCCTACAGAATTTTGTTTGTTTGTTTGGTAGCACTTCTCCTATATGTCTACGGAGAAGCTCACTTTGCTGCTTATCCTATTTGATCATCACTTTGACACTGTCATATCTGATTTTTAGGGCCCCGTCTGTTGGCTTCGTTGACATTCTGAAGATTTTCCTGCTTATTGAATTTTGTAGGGTTCTTAAGATAGTGATGCCTACGTTATGTGTTAATGCATTAGTGCCCGTCTTCTGCAGATCTCCAGCTGCTACTGTGCATTGTAGTTGCTAATATCCATCTGTTTTGTTCTGTGTGTTGCAGGTTTCGAGTACAACCCACAATTCCACAACGTGATGAGAGTGACACACGCCATGTACAGAGCCTGCAACGCCACAGCTCCACTGGCCACGTACACCACAGGGAACGATTCCATCTCCATAACCACCCGCGGCCACCACTACTTCATCTGCGGCGTCAATGGCCACTGTCAGTCCGGCCAGAGAGTCGACATCAACGTCCTTCCCACCACCGCGACACCTTCATCTTCTCCCGCTTCTTCCATGGCCGCCCCAACTCTGTCTTCTGCACAATCCCCAGGCCCTAGTTCGAACACCGCGGCCTCTTCCATGGCTTCCATCGCTAAAGCGCTTCTCCTCGCCATGGCAATCCTCTTCCACCTCGGATTTGCCTGAATTTGGCGCCAATCAGTCCAAATGATGTACACTTCAGTCTAGATTCCCACCTTCCCTCACAGTTCCTTCTCTGTGTACTAATAATAAGCCATGGTAGTAGAGATAGGGAGGAAAACCAGAGACAAAGATAGAAGGAAATCGAAATTGAAAATTCTGCTCTGAATTTTTGTGTTTGTTTACTTTGATTGATTCTATAAAAGCCAAACAACTATTTCTATAACAGAACAAATTCCTTATGCCGGTGCTGGAACAAACAACTCTTAGCTCTTAGAGCATTATCACGAGACTAAAAGATAGAAGTGAAAGAAAAGGAAAAACTGATTCGTTACAAATATTTGAAAGTAAAAAGATTGATTCTTTCCCCCTTTTTTTGTGGTTCTGCTCTCTGCGGAAACCATATATCTTCCAATTCTCCTAGAGCTTCTTCAATGGCGGGTTGCAATTTGTTGTGTTGTTGTTATCAATCAATCCATGAATTTTTTCCAGACAGGATGCTTCTTCCAGACCCTTTCGTTCATGGCGTCGATGGGGACTCCCTTGGTCTCCGGCAAGAGGAAGACGACGAAGAGCCCCATCACAAAGATCCAGGCCGCGAAGAAGAAGAAGATGTAGGCCTTCAAATGGCACATCATGGACAAGAAAGCCTGTGCCACGATGAAGGTGAAGAGCATGTTGGAGCTCACCGCGCAGGCGAAACCCGCCGCTCGAGTCTCCACCGGGAAAGTCTCGCTTGGAATCAGCCAGCCCAATGGGCCCCAAGACCACGCAAAGCCCATTACGAAGAAACACACAAGGAACACCACCACGCCGGCTTCCACCTTCGTCAGCGACCCCGTCGCCGTCAGATTCAGATGCAGAATGAACCCAATCGCCATCTGTTTCCCACCAAAAATTAAGCAAGAAGAAGCTCAATTGGCGAAATCTGGTGGAGAGAGAGAGATAAAAATGTTACCTGAGAGATGAACATCTGGACACAGGCTTCGAGGAGGAGGGCCTTGCGGCCGACCTTATCGACGGCGACAACGGAGACGACGGTGCTGACGACGTTGACGACGCCGGTGATGACGGCGGAGAGGAGGGAGCCGTCGTTCTTGAACCCGACGGTCTGGAAGAGAACAGGGGCGTAGAACATGATGGCGTTGATTCCGGTCATCTGCTGGAAAACCTGGAGCAGGATTCCGATGATCAAGGGCGGGAAGCTGGATTTCTTCATCAGCTCCTTGAATGGGCTTTTGGCCTGCTTGGCGGCCTCGCAGGCGGCCTTGATCTGGTTGAATTCGGCGTCCACGTTGTCGACTCCCCTGATTTTTTTTAGGGTTTTGTGCCCCTGCTCCAGCTTGTTCCGCTCCACGAGGCTGGTCGGCGTCTCGGAGATGACGATTGAGCCGATGAAGAGCCCCGCCGCCGGTGCGCCGGCGATGGCGAGGGAGATTCGCCAGCCGTACGGGTGGATCTTCGAGACCGCGAAGTTGACCAGGTTGGCGAAGAGGATTCCGATCGTGACGAAGAGCTGGAACAGGATGTTGACCGCTCCTCTGTGCTTCACCGGCGCTATCTCCGATAAAAACAGGGGAACTCCCTGAGACAGAGGAAAAACAAATTTTTTAGAAAAAAATCCACACTTTTTGAGAAATGATTGGAGCCCTTATTCGTAGAAATGATTAGTGAATAACCTCGTTTCCGAATCCTACGCCAACACCGAGGAGGATTCGACCAACGATGAGCATGGCGACGTCCATGGCGGCGGCGCTGAGGGCAGCTCCGGCGATGAAAAACACGGAGGCGATTAGAATGGTGGGCTTCCGGCCGAACAGCTCGCACGCTTTGGAGGCCGCGAAGCTGGAGACGAGGGCGGCGAGGTAGAGCGAAGAAGTGAAGAGCTGAAGGTTCTGGTCATCGTATTTGCAGTAGTTGTCTTCTTTGGCATGAAGCTTCCGCTCGTACACTTTTGGGAAGAACTTGATCTGGAAATCGTCCATGGCAGTCACTCCACCTAAGATTAATATTCAAAACACAACACCCAAATCAAATCAAGACCAAAAAAAAAAAAAAAAAAAAGAGATCACTACTTTTGTTTCTAAAACTACACTAAAAGTAGACAAAGCTAATAAACGACATAGCTTTCATTTTGGTACACATCGTCCGATTGAGTACTGAAATATTAGATTCTTTATGATGTAATGGATAATATCCCAATAACGTTTGATTCTTAATATGGGCTAAGACGTCCTAGCCCCTAGGTATATGTATTAAAAAAATATTAGAACTCTATATAGATAAAGACCGAGAGCATAAATTCTCAACACATTTTGGTAATTTTTCATATCTAATTCTCTAGTCTAGACTCTAGAGTCTAGACCACCTTTGATTATTATTTTCTCTAGAGAAAAAAATGACGAGTGTACGGCACTTACCAGAGATACCAATGTCATAGCCAAACATAAGGCCACCAAAGGCGGCGAGGAACCAACAAATAGCGACATAAAAAGTGAGCTTTGATGGGAAGTTTTGAGGCGAGATGGGTTTTTCGGAATCGTCCATTGTCACTCTCTTTCACTTTTGTTAGCAACTTTTGGAGGGAAAAGCAAAAGCAGAGGAAAAAAAAAAAGAGAGATCGAGAGAGTGATTACTGATGTGATTGACTGATGATCTAGCGTGTTACTATTTTATATAGAGTTGGTTTGAGGATTTGAAGGGTGGAAGTAAGAGAGGTTTTGGGGTTAATGTGGTTGGAAAAAGGATAATGATCCACAATCCATGGATGAATTTGCTCGTCCTTTCGGGACATCCGATAAAAAAGGATGAATTTGCTGACCAGGAAAAAAAACAAAGAAACAAAGAACTCAACATTTTGTATTGAAAGTTTGCTAAGTTTGGAAAGGTGGGTTTTACAAAATGAAGTTTAGTAAACTAACTAAATGGATTCATTTTATCAGTTTGTTTTTTTTTGTTTTGCTTTTGAGTTGTAATAATAGCTCTGTTACATTTACCTGCTTTAGACATATAATCCTCTTCTCAATACAAGTTGATAAATTCTTTAAATTGCTCATCAGAAATAAACGCGAGTAATGCTCACTTGTGATTGTTTGATTTTTGTTGTAAATATCAGACCACATCCTTAGAATAAGCACTAAAATTTGGGGAACATTTTGAAAATAAATAAATATGAAATATGATTCTTCTTCCGAGCTTCAGTTTGGTGAGCTCGCTTTTTAATACTCTAACCAATCCTCTTATTTATATAATTATTGTGCACTCTTTTATATAATCGATGAAAAACAATTCTACTCGAGTGTTTACAACATGGATTATTTTGCATATTATGTTATCCTCCGGTAATTTAACTCTAAGGGCTCGTTTGCTTGTTAGATTTGAAAATGAGGGTTTTGAGTTTTCAAAACCTTTGGATTTATGATGGATTTGTTGCATTATGGATTTGGAAGAGTACATTGTTTGTGTAGTTTATTTTTGTCATAGATTCATGATGGATTTGATCACATTTTGCCTTCCATTATCAAATCCCAAATGAAATGTGGGATTTTCAAATCCGTGGGGTCCACGAATTTGGATCTTAAAAATGGGTCCAAATCCGTGGGCCCCACGAATTTGTGTCCCTTAGCAAACAATGAACTTGTGCCAATTCTATTATGCTTGGGATTTGGGTACCAAATCCATCACCCAAATCTCACAAGCAAACGATACCTAAGTAGCGCGCAAGACTCGAAAGTCCATTTTGCTCCTATAGAGATAATGCTAAAGACATGCGGTTACACCAATTCAATGCTAAGGCAAAAGCGGTTGAATATGATGACCTTAAGATCCAATTGAAAGAAGCACAATAGAGGGTGTTCAAGGTACGAATGATATTGGACGTCGTTTTGCCTGTTTCAACTTGATGTATTTTGATATTTGTGTCATTAGCAAGGAGTCACCCTCGATTGATCGACAGATTGAAATTTAAAAAATGAGCAGACCATATTTAGTTATGGATTTGATCCTACGCTCAATTCATGGCGGGATGCTAATCAAGTTGTTTATTTAATAGCGCATAGCAATATGATGTGGGATAAAGGCTTGAGGCCAGCTCTTTTCATGTGGTGGGAGGCAAGGCACCCAAAACAGGGCCTCCAAACTCCAAACACTCCATCAAGTGCCATAAATTAATTGTGGACCTTCAAATTTTGGGGCCACGTTAGTTTATGGAATAGGTAGGAACGAGTCGAACGACAATGGGCAGGTTGAGGGCGAGTTTTTTGTTATCCAGACCCGTCTTGTGATAGATCGGGTCCAGGTCGGATAATTTATTAAGTGTCGCGGGTCTGTACAGGTCGACCCAATAAGTATGCAATTTATATGAAAAATATTAGAAATATTCGTTATTTTTATTATAAGACAAAGAAAACAAACAATATTATGATAAATGTAGTTAAATTATTGGAAAATTTGATATTTTCACTAATTTACAATTTTATTATAGCTAAAATACGATGTAAGAAAAATCTTATGTAATTTGACTAATGTAATTTAGACAAGAACGAGTCAAGAATGAGACGGGTCAAGACAGGTCAGATCGATGAGAATACCCATACCCACCCCGCCTACGAGGCAGGTCGGACCCGCCTCAAAACAGGCCAAACAAAATGGGTCAGGTCGAAATCACTATCCCTAACACGAAATAACATTTCCTACATTTAATCACAACTTGCCGAGAGTGACCATCACCTGAGAAAGTCTGTTCCAGAGACAATGATTTTGACTAAAACATCATTCATGCAGGAAATCAAAGTCGAAAACTTCAACGCAGGCAATTTCAAGACCGAATGAAACTTCATTTTTTCCTCCTTTTTGCTTCAAAACCTTTGGATATGTTACAACAGAGTCTAAGTTGCGGGTGTGGTTCGGTTCATGTCACGGGGGATGCAATTGACCTTTGTCGCATCTATGGGGCAACAATGAACTATTGGATCAAAAGGATCCCCCTTTATATAACCCAAGCACATTTATAAGCAGGGGACGTGAAAGCTCAAGAAAAACAAGTAGTTGCGACCTGATGAAACCCGAAAAAGAAGAAAGCAGAGTGGAAGAGGGGAAAAGAATGTGGCCGTCGAGGAAGAAAGAAAGGATCACCAAATGCGATCAGAATCTGGTGTGGATGGAAAGGGTGACTACTTCAACTTGAGGGGCGATCTTGAGCCAGAAGACCATTTAAAAGTGGTCGCTCCACGTCCAAACTCCTGACAGATGTGCTCGGACCGTGGGGGTCATGACGGCGGAATCTGCCAATCAGAACAGAACAATCCAGTTGATTAGGGAACTCCATGGAGACAGACAAAGTGTATATTGATAACAAGGGGGCACAAAATGAGCCAATTTGATGTTCCGTATTTATGCTAGTTAGCTTGTCAAAAGAAAAGAGAAAGCTGGGCAGTCCCTCCGACCATAACTCTACCAATACATCAACCTGCACAAGATCTGGTTTGAATACCAAAGCAAATTATCGAATCAAGGTGAAAGAACGAACTACTTATACAAGGAGCAGGTAGATGTTTGTTTAATGTTTTCACAGTATATAATTAGATTTTAAGGAGGTAGATAGTCAGTCTGCCAACAGAGAACCGGTAGAATTTTGAGAAATGACAATCATTATATAAGTCATAGGAATTTCTGAAAACGATGGCTTTCATTTAATAATTTGCGGGATCCATTTTTTAAGCCTGCAACAAACACATATATCTCCCATGCAATTCCATAACATAGCTACAAGACGAGAAAAGCAAGCATAGAGACCTTACACTAGTTGATTGGAGCTCCACATTGGCCGTATCCTCACCATCCTAAAACATAAACAAATTCATGTAATAGTTTAACAATTGAGTTTATATGAATAAAAGAAAAACACAGGGATGGGTAGAGAAAGCTTTAGAATATGGGAAACTGCGATGAAGACATGATCAAATACCTCAATCAATAAATCCTTTCTTGTAATTAGTCCAACAATGCGAGAAGGCCGAGGGACAACTAATAAATGCCGCAATCCTAGTTGACGAAAGAGACTATATACCTACAACACCAGCAGCAAGATGCAGAATCTCGCATTGTAAGACAAAGAGAATAACATTTCCCCATATATATATGTACCATAAAAAACCGACAAGTTACAAAGAGAAAGGCACTAACTTTTGTTAAAGACATATCTTCTGGAACGACGTATGGAGAAGGGTTCAAAAAGGGCGCAAGATCTATGTACATTTCCGAGTCATCGGAACTCAAATGAATATCTTCTATCGAAATTCCTTTGCTTGAAACAGGTTTCACAAACTCAGTGAAATTGTGACTGTATGAACAAGAATCAAACTACATTAGGGGAGCGACAGGGAGTCAAACTGGAAAAAGGCATCATTATCATAGACAAAATTACCTGATTGGTGCTGATCCACTCATAGAATCAAAGGGCAACGGACTGTGCTGGAAATCTACCTTAGACTGAAGAAGTACTAGTAAATGACTGCACATTGAAACAAAAGGACAATCTGTGTTACTTTCCTTTCAGCTGGTATACTACCCTCCATCGAATAATATCACATGTTTGATAAGCACAAAAATGAAGTGAATTGAAAAGCAAGTACTACCTGCGAAGCATAAGCCCAACTACAAGCGTCTCTCCATTCCTTTTATGATCAATAACCTAAGCAGTATGCGAACAGTAAGATCACGTATCTCAGATCTGATTATAATTGAGAAAAGAATAAAGGAGAAGATAGCTTACAGGAAATCCATTGTGCTTACTGCTACGCAAAATAGAAACTATATCGGCAACCTTAGCAACACGAGGAAGGGAAACAACCTTCAAGATGAAAAAGCATAACTAATCAGTCAAATAAACTCAACCATAGACCAAAACCCCTAAACTGATCTGTTACTATTCAATTTGCTGATGTTGACATGGTTAGCAGAAAAATCTGAAAGCTTTCGCTAAAAACTCACCTTCTGGTTTCCACAAGCATCCTTTGAGGTCATAGTCCTCATCTGGTATTTCGGTTTAGATTCCAGTAATGGAATGCCCCTTAATCTTGCCTGTTCTTCGTACAGGCCTTCATTAAAAGCATCACCAACAGCCTGCGCCAGAGAGAGAGAGAGAGGGATGTGGAAAAGTTGGCACGTCATTCATCAAGTCACCATGGGAAACTAGTTCAAAAAAGGTACCTTTGATATAAGGAGCACAAGCATTATAAGAGGCAGAAGTTTCAAGTTGTTGGTGATCTCAACCATAATGACACATAAAGAGACTGTCATCCTCATTGAACCTCCAAGGAAAGAAGCAGCTCCAAGTAAAGCATACCTACCAGCAACCCAGTTAAAACCAAGGCATAAATGAAACATCACCGACAAAACATGGGAGAGCAAAATTTGTAGCAAAGTCGGGTCCATTAAAAGTGAAAAGAAAAATACCTAGAAGTTTATGGCAAGTATATAAATTGAACACCAAAACAATGTAGTGTAAAGAGAATATATCCAGACTTGTTGAGGAAAACTTACGTCCCTTCCTCAATGTTGAGCTTCTTGTAGAAATTGACAACAAACATTCCAACAAGGCGTCCGTATGTTGACCCTATCATTATTCCAGGAACAAACTGACCAGCAGGAACTGCTGTACCAAAAGTCACCACTGCTAACGTGTAAAACATAACCTGCAAATGGTCCAAGAACATAAATCAGATACTTGAAATTATAATTAATCTAGACATCTTGACTGTATTTCAAATCAGGGTGCTAACTTATGTGCTATAACTGGAATGAAGAGATAACACAACATCTCTCAAATGATAATACACAAAACGACTTAATAAGGCTTGCAGCTTAATATACTACATGTCTTTTAGAGGTCGTGCAGACAACTCAGGGGAAGAAAGATGTTTAGAAGGCTATACAGAACAGGTTTCAGGATGCAGCTTAAGTGAAACACATCCATCTTCAAGATTACTAATTTACATCAATGCTGCAACATAGCTAGGAAATGATGCAGTACCAGAAATGTCAATAAACTTTGTGCACTGAACTCATGGATTGTCTTTGCACTAAACAGATTCCTGATGGCATCATCCTGTAATAAAAGCACATGGGCATAGTGAATAAGCCATAAAGACGCCATGAGTGGAAACCAACATGAAAATGAAGGACAAGGCTGCAAGGCATTGAAGTACCTGAGTATTGAAGAAAATTGTTGCAAGGTCATTATATTCCTTCTCCTTGCCACAGAAAAACTGCATACAAAATATAATTAGACGTTTTGACGCCAACTGCACATCTAGAGATATCTTACATGCTAAGTGCACAAACATTACACATTAAAAATCCAGGGAACAGAGGTGATTGCCAGGAACTACTCATGAATCTCAAGTGATACAAATGTTAAAGATGGAGAATGCAACCTTTTCAGATCCCTACTTGAATGATAAAAAAAGAAGGATCTTATGACCCAAAATTAAATGAGAGCATAAACAGTCTCAAGAGATAACTTACGCTCACGTAATTCCCATACATGCCGGGAGGGCGTGGACACTCAATATTAGAGTCAGTATCAGATTCTGGACAGGGACTACACTTTCTCAGGAGTGGAAGTCCAAAAGAAATTGCAGAAGTTATGAATGAGATCAGGCATGCTTCAATTATCTGCAAGGTTCAGGATATGAAAGCAGATACTGAGAATAAAACATAATTGAAAGAGTAAAAAATGAGCAGAAACCCTTTTCTTTACTTAATTATCTGAATTTCACCTTAACGCGGGTCCCTTTCTTGTGTAAATGGTTTCGACGCCAGTAAGTTATATATAGAGTGAGCTGGTTGAACAAAGCACCTGAAAATCAAAAAGAACGAAATAAAAAAAGAAAAGATATAAAAAGTGAGCACACTACTATTTATTGTCAACAAAAAGGGTGTAGAATAACAGATCCTTCTGGCACATACCAAGCAGACCACCAATCACTCCAATAAAAGCCATTGGAAGTAACTCCTCGAAAGAGTAGTCCTCTTGACCACTGTAAAGGAGAGTTTTTCAAAAAGTAGAATTAGAAAACCAGAGCACTCAATGCACGATGGGAATAAGAATGCAACAGGCTTAAAACTTACTCCGACACATCCCATATTATAAAGCCCCCTGAGCCGAAATGCCCACACTTTCCACTCTTACACCATCCCATGGCAATACGCACCACAACTGCCACAATAGCAGAAGTAAAAAAGACACGCCACATAAGTTGACTCCTCCACCTTCATGAGTACAACCAAACTATAATCAAGTAGTGTTCAAACTGTAATAATGTACAAATATCTATTGTATGTTTATATAACAACCAATTTCATCACATAGTCATAACTGTCTTACCAAGATGTGACCTCTTCCAATGCAAACAATACACCACCAACTGGAGCTCTAAAAGCAGCAGCTACTCCAGCTGCACACCCACAGGTCACCTTTTCAAAACATTAGACAGCAAAAATTGAGCAAACAAGGATGCAAGGTATCTCCACGGGTGGATAAAGAGAGCTGACAACAACAGCATTCAAGCGCACATTAACTATACTACTACAAGAGGAATCAACTCATGATGGGTGGGAAGCAAGTTTTTCAATAATGGTTCCAAACGGGAGCCACAAAAATTGTGACGAATCAGCCAAAAAGGAACAATAGGAGAATGGTGAGAAGTAGGTTACTCACCAGATCACGGCGGTCACGATCACTTTGGAAAAATTGTAGCCATCTGGAACTTAGATGATATTTTGTAGTTCCACCCTAATAAACATATGGAACAAAAGAGTAAGAACTAGCTGTTCAAAAAGAGACGAACAAAATATGGCAAATGTGGTGTTGTGACTCCACAATGAGTCTACTATACCAATCCTCACCTGTCCAAACAATGAAGCTATGCAAGCACCAGTATGAACGAGAGGACCTTCCTTGCCCAAAGCAAGACCACCTCCAACAGAGCCAATGCTTCCAAATATCTACAACAATTAACGAAACTGAGAAGTGAGAAAATGGGTAAGGGAAATAGACATTAGGAACATTGATGCCTTGAAATACCATCAAACCTTTCCAATCAAGGTTCTGAAGAGTAGAATACCATGGGTGTCGACCCCTGTAAGTAATACGATGCAAATCGCAAAAAAAAAAGGAGGATACTTTAAGATCTGTTCAAGCGTACGAGAAAGCAACAGCACTGTGATCTGAGGAATGACGCTCACCATTTAAATAACCTTTAATCTCAGGGATACCAGATCCTGCTGCAGCAGGTGCGAAGTGGGTGATGATATATACAGATGAAAAAACTAAAGCCAGGTTGATTAGTACATATACTATGAAGCCAGCAAAATATGACTTCTGTATTATAGCAAACGTCAGTGAGAACTTCCAGCCAGCAAAGTTCTCGACCGATATATTGATGAAAACAGCTGCCAATCCAGTACCTGTAAGCAAACAAACCATATCAATAAACTACCAATTACCACAAATGCCAATGCTCCTTCAATTCTCCATTCACATCACATAACATCATGTCTTCCCTCCCAACTAAGGAGCGTTATATCAACAGAAAATGCAATTAAAACTATAATCTGGAAATGCCATATATTGACCTAAGAAGAGACAATAGAGAAATCGGGTAGGAATATAAAAGCAAACAAATGAACAGGAGGGTGTGATCAGTGATCTTCAAGATAGGGAAAGCTCAATCGAGAACAGAAACACCAAGACTCACCAATTCCAATAAGCAAAGCAAAGAACCACTTCACAACTACATAGAATCCAACGTACAGCTTCCCTCTCTGCGCCTGCAACTCCGAAAGCAATGTCAGGGAACCCAAAAAAAAAAACCCCCCAATAATCGCAGAAACGAAGGCTCATACTCGAAAACGGAAACACCCCGAATCGCACACTACCTGCTCTTCTCGATACTCATAGTTCTCAATTACTTCATAATCAAGGCTCTCAACATTCCCGCCATCGCTGGTGCTCAATAGCGTAGCTCCATCGACCTCCCCGTCCTCCGAGTTAGGTATCCGAGACCATAACTGATTAGCGGTCTCAATCCCATTCTGCAAATGATTCGACAACATCACCAGAAGATTCTTCCCCTCCTCCGCTCCCTGACCTCAAACCCTAAGCAGGCAGCAGAGAGGAACTCCGGAGTTAGAGAATCCAACTCCAGAATTCTGCAAAGAGAATCCCGGATAGAAGCGGAACAGATCACGGCGCCAAAATGAATCCCCGAACTAGTATCAGTTATCGAGAGCCACGGAGGAATTGATGCAGAGACTCCGCCGGAACACGTCTCCGTCGTCCGTCCGAGTCCTCTCTCTCTCTCTCTCTTTTTCCGGTGGTTTTAACTTTCACCTTTTTCACCTCTCCCGCTGGAGTTTGCTTAGCTCCGTCGCTTTTTGGGTATAGTGAAATTTGACTCTTCGCGAAGTCTCGAAGCTGAGCTCTGACGGGGCGTTTGTTTCCTTGCCTGCTTTCATCATATTATTCGGGGTTGGACCCCGGGCGTTTGATCAGGTGCTACGCGGATGTATGGTAGGATGGCTGAGGATTAGAGGCTTGGTTGGATCTGGACCGTTGGATGTAGTTGATCAATGATTTGGTGACGTGCTGACAGAATTTGTTAGGTGTGTTGGTTTGAGTGACGGGTGGAGTGCCAAGTAGGAGATTGATAAGGACTGTTTCGGGGAACAGAGAGAGCGATGCTTGCGCAGGGAATGTGTTGGTCCCGTAACTGCAACTGTGCTTTTTAAGGAAAGAAAAATTGTTAAAATACTCGTCACCTTACTCGGGAAAAATAAATCCTAGATAGACCGCCGCTCTACTCCACCATCATCGTCGGTCGTCATAACTCCTCGCCCCTCGCATCCTCACGCCGCCGTCGTCGTCTAGTCCCGCTGCCTATGCTTTCCTGTTCTGTTCATTGCGGAGAAAGAAGAAGAGAAGGAATAACAGCGCTGGGTGGAAGAAAGAGAAACGAAAAAGGTTTGATTTTGGTCAAACCGAGTAGTAGGAGTAGTGCGCAAATGGAGCGATGAGCGCAAGCGCACAAAATCCATTGTCGTCGTTCGATCGCGGCCTCCGGCAAAATTCTCGTCACCAAATCTCATTGGCTTGGAATCTCCTCCTCTTAACCTTTTCTTTTCTTTTCTTGCCGGTATACTGTGGGCGACGGTTTTACTATGTAGATATCGCCGGATTCCCTTTTTTTGTTTCTTTTCCCTATTTTCGCAGGGGAAGGCAGCCTCCGGCATGAGCGCATGCAGGAGGAGACGGCTGGCCGGAGGCTGGGATTGTGAGGGCACGGCGGAAGGGACGGCGACATGGATTCCGGAGCAGTTACAATTATGGCGGTTACATCTCTTGAAGGGATTCCAACCGCATCCGCATGCTAATTTTATTAGTAATTATTTTTAATTATAAATTCAACCTCTGTTATTTTATCTTCCTTAAATTTTCATATTTACTTTTTACCCCGTCATAATTGCCTTATTTTTCTAAAATAATCTTCTAATTTTCCTCAATTTTGCAAATAGAGGCTCTTTCTCCTCCCCCTAGTTTATTAATTTTTCAATATAATTTCCAACTCTTCCAATTTTACCATAATTAGTACTAAATATCGTTCTATATCTACTCACACTCACAGGATGAGCTCCTACAGTAGTTATTGGATCGTCATTGTGCGGCTCGCCGATACTGGTCATTTCGCTCTCCTGCTCCACTCTGTTGTGTTTGTTTTGTAGGAGTCTAGATTTCAAGGACACTTTCCTCTCTTGAGGATTTGTTGTTGTTGACTATTTCTTGTCTACATTATTGGTGGCCAGGTGTTGCCTTCGATCGAACGCTATGCATGGACGGTGTTGGGCAATAAGGGAGTATTGCCGTTGTAGGCTTTCATGCATCAGGTAATATTCTCCTTGCTTTTGGAAAGTACTATGGAGGAATACATGATCCATTTGTTATGGCAAGTTTGACTGAACGTTATGCCATAAAATGGTGCTTAACACACTCTTTTTTTCTGTCTAATTTCATGGGGATTCTCAACATTTGATACGGCGAATGGTGGGAGGTGACTCGGCTCATGATTGGGGTGGAGCTATATTGGAGGATGCTTGGAGTTTGGCTTCTCGCTTTAGCTGGGTTTTTTACTATTTTGCTTCTCGTCGACTTAATAGGGTTGCCCATCATGTGGCACAAAAAGCCCTCTCATCGGGAGTTCGGCTATTGGTCGACTCCCGCGCTCTTCTTATTTCCTCTGTATGACTGACTTTATAACTGACTTTGCCAAAAAAAAGGAGTTACTCGGAGTTGTATGGCAAGACACGTGGAGACTTGGACATCAGTTAAAAATGGTATACTATATAGCTTCTAATGAGCTACTGAAAGTCTCAACGAGATCTGTCAATAAATTAAAAACAAGGGACACTTTAATTTATTCTCAAGCAAGAGCCAGAGAAGCTAGGACAAAGCAATGTATCAATCGATTTCACTTCTACATATTGTTTCAATTAATGAAGGCTCGACCACTTAACATTACTATGCATGGGGATTACTCATATAAATATTCTTGGTTTTAGTTTATGTATCACGTCACAATGCTGATCTAGCAGGCGTTTCAGATACATCAAGCTCTTTGTACATTTCTGTAATCGCATTCTGGAAATACGCCTTCGCTTGAGCTCTCTTTATTTGAAAAAACCAAGAGGTTGCAGTAGTAGTAGTCATCATCACAACCTTTCTTCAGCTTTATAACAAATCCTATAAAACACTCACCTTAAATGTTGGGGTGAGAAGTCCATTTTCCAGTGTAAACGGTTCCCCCACCAACGTCACAGCTTTCACAAACTCAAATCCTCGCAACTGCAACAATGGAGTGGAGAAATCGCATCAAGAATAAGGTTTGCAACACTTGATGGCAAGTAGGGATGACAACAAAACCCGAACCCACGGGTACCCACCCGATCCAACCCGGTCAATGCGGGTAAGACCAGTGTTGATGGGTTTTGGGCCGGGTTCGGGTTTAAACCCGCTACACTATTCACCGGGTCGGGTTGGGTTTGGGTTTAGGTAAACCCGTCCCATGGGTACCCGCCCCACACATATAATTACTTTTCCGGCATATTTAATACTCTAAATAATATATATTCCTTAAACAATTAATATTCTTTATGTTTGTGGAGACATATATAATTTGTTGTTTCTAATTGTTTAGAATGAAGTTGATATTATGAAGTGGAGAGTGAAGAAACTTAGTTGACGAGTAAGAAGCTTTCAATTAATCTTATTGTTTATAGATGTTTATCTTTAATTTTGAACAATTTGTATTGATCATTTGCGGTTTGCTTGTATGCTCTAGATTGGTGTTTTTTGTATGAATAATTTGTATGAGAAAATTAATGTTAAACTTTTATTTTGAAAGAAACTTGTTATTGTAAATTTTTTACCACAAAAACCCACGGGTACCCATGAACCCGCGGATACCCAGCGGGTTGGGTTTGAGTTTTTCAAACCCAGCGGGTTTTACCCCGGGTTTTTTTGGTGGATAAACCCATGGGTTTGGGTTTGGGTTTGACAAAACCTGCCCCAACCCGACCCATTGCCATCCCTAATGGCAAGTGCTACGATGGAACTTCCACTTACATGAGCTTCTCTTCCAATAGCATCCATGTCTACTAGAATAGTTGCTTTTGATCTTGGATCATTGCACAGTCTCTCCAAGTCGTTGTACTGAAATTCATCCCAAAGAATCAGTCTATTGCTAAAATGGGAATTTGAAGGAGAATTCATATATCCTATCTAAAAGTCTAACCTTGATGCCTTGAGAGGCAGCCCAATCTGCCAACACATCATGATCAACCGCAACAACATCAACCAAAGAAGAGTAGAAGCTATCGCCATAGACAAAGTACTGAACGACGAATCTGCATTTGGCATACACATTCTCTATCTTCTCGGGAGCAATGTACTCGCCTTGTGCTAGCTTGAAAATGTTCTTCTTCCTGTATACCAACCAATTAATACCAAGTGTTTAATTGTTTGCTTGTTGTCTAAGGCATCATAAAAATAAATTGCTTGCAGTTCAAGTTTCAGGTTATAGCACCTGTCGATGATCTTCAAGCGGCCTCCTGGTAGCCATAATCCGATGTCTCCAGTGTGCAGCCAACCTTCTCCGTCGATCACTTCTCTCCTGAACAACATTCATCATCAAATTGTTAATTCAGTTGCCAAAGTTTGACAGCTTTAGAAACCAAGAATTGAGAAGGGTCTTTGTAAGGCGCAAAAGTTTTACGTTTGAGTTTCATCTTTATAGTAACCTTGGAATACGGTGGGACCCCTGACGCAGATTTCTCCACGTGGATATGGTTGATCCCGAGAAGTGTAGTTCATTTGTGTGGAACATCCTCGAGCTTCAATTCTAGAAAATAGACACACACAACAAAATGAACTCTTGTTTCGTAATGAAAGAAGTATGTAGAGAGTACAGGTAACTACATCAGTATATAGTACTGCGTAGGAGCTCACCACAAGCTGGATTAGCAGAGCCGACGTGACCTACTTCCTTGTCACCTACCTCCATGACGCTAATGACGCTTGAAGTTTTTGTCATCCCATATCCTTCAAGAACCTCACCACCAAAGCAGCTGCAAATTCATTGAGCAATTGTTCAAAAACTTTGTCGCAAGTTATTGGGACAAATTAGTTTTTCACATAATCAACCACCGAAACTTACATATTCATGGACCTTAGAAAGTAACGACGAGACTGACCCCTTCTCACTCACCAAGTAGAGGAAGGGTTAGCAGAGTCGGACTTCGAGAAGAGGTCGGGCGAGGCGAGTAGCTACACCTGCATTGATGAAAAGCCAAGGAGCTCGTGAAGAGTCAGAGCTGGAATAGTTTAATTTTTTGTTACATGGTTAGGAGTACAAACTGGAGGTTCTAAGTTCATTCATTTTAAGTATTGGGATTGTCATTGTCCCAGATGTTCAGCCTTTTTGTTTGAAATTCTTAAACATTGTCGGTTTATTTATTTTAAAAAGTTGTTTGGGTTGCTCCGTAGTAACCGGTTTGTGGTTTGAGTTATGGCTTGGTTTTCGAAAAAGGTCGGGTCGTTTCAATTTGGGCCGAGTATGTGTTGTCTCTCTACAAAGGTGGGCTTTGAGGAAAAAGAAGATGAGTTTAAGAGCTTAGCAACTGGGCTTTCAAAGGATTTTAGCCCAATCCCGTCTAGAGGAGAGTTCTTTGACTCTTATTTCGAGGACTTCAAAAGAGAGGAGGAAGAATTGCTCGACTATAGAGAACGTGACATATGTCACGTGGGTGAAGGAGAGTCGAGGAAAATTGGAGTTCCGCGAGAAGAGTTCATTCAAGGGATCGAACGCAATTGGAAACGAAGAAATCGAAAGGTCAAGGAGGTGGAAGTCAACTGCAACCTTGAGGGCAAGGTTGCTTTCAAGAGGGGTGGATTGTTAGAACCCACGTTTTAGGGTGTCTCTTATTATTTATTAGTAGGATAGTTATAATTATAGTTAGTAGAGATTTAGTCAAAGTAGAATTATTATTAGGTTTTTCCAATATTTCCCTATAAATATGTAATTGATATTCATTCAGAATCAATCAAGAAAATCAAGAAAAGTATTAAGCAAAGTATCTCTCATAAACCTAATTTCTCTCATCTCCTAATTTATATTCTCTCATAATCCAAGGCTTCGGCCGATTCTTGATTCTATTTTTTTCTTCTCATTTAAATCCCTAATTATTTCTTTCAACTCCTAAATCCCTATTTGTTACGAGTAATTGCGGGTGTCAGAGATCAGTCCCTAGAATCCCTAGAAGTGGGGTTCTTTCAGACTGTTAATTAGAGATGATCCATATTGGTGGAAAGTTGGTGAAAAAGGAGGCATTGCAGTAATAGACAAGAACCTAATTGAACATTGTTATAAGTTATAAGGCTCCTAGTGTTACATGTCATAGCTTGAATTAGGAGCACTTCTACTGATTAGAGTACAACTATGCTTTAAAGTATTGGTGTTTTAAAGTACAACTTGAAATCATACTATAACGTTAAAGGTACAAATTGAAGTTGTACCATAAGGGAAGTTAACATTTATGTTGTGGTACAACTTTAAGTTGTGAAGTTGTAACATAACATAAATGTACAACTTTAGTTTGTACCATACAAGCAAAAAGCAAAGCACCAATGTTTTAAAGCATTGTAAAATTCCTCTTGAATTAGATGTGACAGAGATGTTAATTAGCGCAATCCATTTCTTTTCAGGGAAGGCCTTGCTTAGTGCCTAGATAGGCACGAGAAAGATGGCTCAAATGAGGAAGAGACACACTAGGCTTTGGTAGAGTCCTCCAAGCCCAAAGAGGCGGTGTGGTCCATTCGATCAAATCCCAAATGATTGATGCATCAAATGTGACTTTGTACTTGGGGCAATGCCCATGGATTGTCTGGGTGGGTATCTTCAATGTCTCAAACATCCTGGATACTTTCGAGCATCCATTACTCGTCCCGAATACCACAATAAATTTCCGCCTAAGGTCCAAGTATAAACCTTAGTCGAGTGCAATACAGGATAAGTATGTTTAAATATCGACTCGGGCCGGTCCGTCTACCCCTACTTCAGTCGTTTGAATCATTATCCAACAACTCGGTTTTAGTTGAAAAGTTTGCTAATTAAAGTAAAGCCAGACAAAAGGGAATGGTTTTGAAAGCTCTTTTGTGAGAAGGATCACTCGGGTGTCGCTTCCCCCTAACTACTACCATGGTATGTGAATCGAAACGATTGCTATGGGTAAGGTGGTCGTGAACAACTAGGGGATTCAAATATGGCCGTAGGCCACACTCATGATTGCTAAACCGAGGAATACATTAAAGGCTGTCACTCGGCCCTCTCTGTTTGGGCAATCAATAGTTGGCTTACTCCCTCACTCAACCCAAGGGTTGGTCGGCTCAATTGCGCTTAACCAAATTGCTTAATCCCAAATTGAGGTTTTCCCTAAATTAACCTAGATATATGACTTAAAAATCCCTAGGAATACCAACTCAATTGAGCCTCCCTTGAAGGGGATTTTCCCTCTCTAATCTAGGTTAATTGGCTAATTAGATTGCTAAGCACACCCATGCACAACCCTTAGATTGCTAAGCACAAACATGCACAATCAACATGAATAATACCTCGATCATTGAATTAAACAAAACCCATAAACAATCATTCAATTCACATAACAGAAAACTACATGGTAGCTAGTTAGGGTTTCACAACACCCAAGTGAAAAAGAAATCTACTCCATGCTAGAAAGGGAAGAAACACAAGGGGAAGAGGTGGAAACCATCATGAAGGAGGCTTCCCATCTTCTTGGCACTTGTTTTGCATTTCTCTTGGTGAGAATCTCCCCAAATCCAATCTTGGAGCAAAACCCTAGCCTCCTTCTCCTTTGGTTCATCTTTCTCTCTCTAAAATATGAAGAAGGCTTTCTCACTCAAGTGGGCTCTCCCCTCTCTCTTCCTTTCAGATCATCTTTTAAACAGAGAAAGAGCTTAGTTCATGGCCCTAGTTCACGACCGTGAACTCTCAAATGCGTTCGTGAACTCCAAAAGGGCGCCGAAACGCACCGCTTCGTCTGCACGTAGTTCACGGTCAACGGCTCCTGTTCACGGTCTTAGTGACCGTGAAATCATCTTGCGTCAGTAACCTCTTGAAATGCAATGGACGCCTCGACATTCACGGGCAACAGCTCTTCTTCACGGTCATACAAGACCGTGAACATCCAGGGAAAACAGTGAACTCGCCGTTTTTCATCTCTTCTCCCGGTTTTCGATCCTTTTCGTCCAACTTTCGACTCCGGGGCTGGTTTCACCAGTTAAATAATGAAACATGCTAAAACATGAGAAACCTAGCGTAAAACCACCCTTTTAGGAGCGAAATTGCCACAAACGCTAAGGAAAACGAGGTAAAACATGTACAATTAGGCGCGAATCAATCCACCCTGGCATTGTCAGGTTCACGATGGCTTATACTAGCATTACGACGAGTTGATCATAGCAAAATGAAGCAAAAATGAGTTGATCGTAGTATGATCGAACGAGAAAATCAAACCATTAGGAGTCCGTGCAGTACCTAAGCCGTGTACATGCACCTGGGTGGAATCTTCATGTAGTGACCAAGTTTGAGGTCCGACAAGAAAGACAAATCATGAACTGTACTAATCCTACCATATATCTTGAACAACAATTTAGCCATTGGCTTCCTTGGCAAGACATAGCCGAATATGAAGTGGGTTATGATGTCACAGCCTGGTTGCCACATTCCCAAGTCACCAACTAGATTATTAGAATCTTCCTTGTTGGAGAATCACATTCAAGGAATTAGATCACATATATAATATACCTGGTTGGTGGTTGCCTGAATGACAACAATGGGTTGCCTGAATGTCACTCTCGATTTACTCATATATTGATGGAAATTTTAATTTTATAATTCTATGCATATATTTTCATTATGGGTTGTCAGCCCTCGAAAGTTTGGTCTCGGGTACTCAACGACATATGTAGGGGAAGTTCTCTCCATCTCAGGTAACTCACATCCTAAGTTGACTCAAGCCTACTCCCGATCTAGTTCAACTTTGATTCACTAAACCTGGATGAACTGTTCAACAAAATGAAGGTAGCAAAGGAATCCTCATTGGGGCGAGTGGCCAACTCGTTCGAGAAGCTGGAACCGCAATAGGTCGAGTGTTATACCTTAATATTGTTTGCATTACGACTCATAAAGTTTTATATATGAACACTTTATGTTATGTATAACGAATTACTATATATAACAAAATTATTTTATATAATAGTTATGTTATATAGAATTCTAAAATATAACATATATGTCAAACATTATGCATGTATACTACAATATTTAATTAAAGATATAATTTCTTTAATGTTCCTTTCTTCTTAAATTGTACATATTTTTCTCAGATTGCAAGCACTGCAATATATGTAACCATATAATATGATGTGTGTATGCTATTGCAGTTCTTATCAATCAATTCCACCGTTCTAAGGGAGACAAGATGGTTAAGTATGTTTATGTCTTTTCCATATTCTTTCTCGTGTCATATTAGAGACGAAGAATTTTCAATGTTGTTGAAGTCCATCACTCTGACTCAGGTGCTATAATTGTTGTCGTTGTGCTGGAATCAACTTCAAGGGTTGTTTAAGTCCTTTTTTTCCAGATTCATTGGGCTTGCTTTGAGTGGTTCTTTCATATTTCCAAACTGCAGTAGCAACTGCACTCGGGTATACCAATTTGTAATCAATTATCAACACCTGAAAAAATAAAGTTTTATCTGATGAAAAAAGCACGAATTTGGAGCCAAACATCAATGATAAGTGAATCTATCTCTTAGGATGTTTACCTTCCTTAGAGGAACAAGACCAAACAGCCCAACAAAATTGCTGTAAAAAAGAAAACCTATCATCCAAATAACAACACTCTTTTATGCTCCTTTAATTGTTTCCCTCTGAATTTGTCCAAGACTGTTCATAGGTCTTCTTCTTCATTCCCAGCAGATATGAACCAAATCTGCTTGCAGTCGAAAAATAGAGAGGACTGCAAGTTTCTATTTAATATATCAATAAATACACCAAGAAGCAACAAACTTTGAAGACATTCAATATTCTAACATGCAAAAGCCATGCTATAACAAGCTACAACACACGTCTGAATCAAAGTGCTCTCTTGTTTGATGAAGGGTTTGGAGACAAACCCAGTTTTTCCAATAGCATGGTCCATGTCTTGACAAACACAAAGCCAACCAGGGCAGCACATATGTTGAAATTTGGGACTAGGCCAGTTTTCAGAGCCAGCTTCATCACAATGATGTTGTAGATAACCCCGATGACAATGTTGGCCACAAGTCCTCTGACGTTGGCCTGCTTCGTCCATGGAGCAATCCTCCTCACTTCCTCTTCTTTTTCCTCTCATGCTAGAGGAGGAGCTTCATTTGAGATGTTCGTCTCATGTACTTCCTCTTCCATATCTTGTATCTTCTGGTCTCATGTGTTACCAGCGTCCTCATTTCCTACATTTTCTCCTTATAACTGGTATGATCCCTCATTTCTTGACTCATTCCCGCTCTTCTTCTGTTTGCTTGCAATAACCACACACCAATCAGTAACTCAATCGAGATAGAAACCAGACAGGTAAGTAATAGATGTGTATTACACATAGCAAGAGGTATCTTTGGTTTTTCACTGCTAGCTTGGATTCTTCTTCTTCGTCGTCGTTACTATTTCATAGCAGAGTCACACTGTATCTTGATTTTTTAAGGAGATTGAAGGACTGCATGAATAAAAAACTAACGAGTTACGTCGGAGTAGTGATACCTCTTTTAATAATCTGGTAGTGATATACTGAGCAGATAGGCCACTCTACTATTCCGGTAAGCGATTGTAATTGCAATATGCATGTCTCTGCATTTTTGTTAATAGATTTAAGAAAGAATTTCAATTGGTGTGAAGTTCTAAGAAAGGCTTCTTTAAGCTACATAATATTCCGTCTTTTTGGCACCACTGATACAGGACTAATGCTGAACACAAGTCCTTTAATGGTGACCTACTTCGTCCATGGAGCAATTCTCCTCGCTTCCTCATTTACTTCCTCTCCTACACGAGGAGGAGCTTCATTTGAGTTGTCATCCCCTATATCTCCTCATAATAACTACTTTAGTTGGATATTTTTTTCAAGTCATAAAAATTATCTTTATTAGAATTATTAAAGATGACAGAACAAATGTTAATATTTTTAAAATCTTGTACCTAAAATCATAAAAACTATACACTATAAGTCTATACCACAAATCATGCATGTCTATTTGTTTTTCAAATTTTTAAAAAGGTTTATAATTTCATATATTCCCAAAAGAACCAAGATAAATATTGTTGATTTAAACTACTTCGTTAGATTTCTACTTATTTTATATGTTGACTATAAACAAACATGTTTACATATGACTTTTTTTGTAGATTAACAAACAAATCTTTGCTAATTATTACAAGTTTCCATAACTTGGGTTGAATCTTGGCCGATTCCTGCTAGTAACTTGCAAAGAGTTGGCTTTCATTAAATAACATTTCATGAAATAGAGTTTTTTTGGGCATATCATTTCCATTCATTATGATCTGCTCTCTCAAGCACTCTGGTCTAACTCCTAGTCTCCTACAATCAATGGATCTGGTGTCGATGTCACAGAGTACGCCGTTGGTGGGTAAAGCCTTCTTCTTGCCACCGCTCGGTGCTCCCAAGGGTTTGAAAACCTCTTTTTTATTGTCGAAGCCTTTGCATCTCACCTCCATTGAGGCTTTTTCTCTCAATGAGAGGAATGCGCCGCCGTCGCTTGTGTGCAAGGCTTATGAAACAGAGCCGATTGACGCTAGCGAAGTGAAACCGGAGGTCGCGCGTCCTGCGAGGAAGGTGAAGATCCGAATTTACTTTGCGACCTAGTAACTAATGACGGCAATTGGTTATACATTAATTGAGATGGTAACTAAAGTACTATTATTTGTGAATATCATTGGATGCTCAAAATCTGATTAGATACATACATAATTTTAATTTACTATTTTGTATCTTATACGTGTATGGATATAAATAAAATTTAAATTAATTAAAAATAAGATAACAAATATCCACTATCTATCGTGATAATACCGGTGGCCATACCACTAATTAATTTATTAATTAATTTATTTTATGGAAATCTTTAAAAGGAGAGTTAGATCTTTATTGCAAGAAGTAACTTTCTTTCGCTACAACACGAGTCCTTTTTTGTTTCCCACTTTTGTGAGCTAAATGTAAAGCCCTAAACAAAACTTCATTAGTATTCATTTCCATTTACATGGTACTTAAAAAGAAAATCAAGCGTTCATGAACTGGACTCTACTACTGAAATCTTTAACCAATGAATTGAGAGCATTTTCCTATGCTTTAAAGCATTAGTGTTTCAATGTACAAATTAAATTTATATCATAATGTTAAGATACACATATAGTTTGTAATATAAGTGATTTTGTACTATAAAGACATTTGTACAAAAATGCATATGTACAAACTAAACTTGTACAATGATACATGTTCAATTTCTACCATAAAAAAACTAAAATACTCATACTTTAAAGTATTGTAAAACTCCTCCATCTTAATTACATCATTTAGATTTAGGTTTAAGAAACTGATTGGGTTCTCATTAACAATTTTGTATTCAATCTGACTCTTCTACTTATAAGCTCTCTCCTGTCTCTAACTCCCTCAAATTAATTAATTACTTAATATATTAAAGGAGCAAGCATAATAACAATGAACACACTATTCCTTACGAAATTATAGGAAATAATTTGTTTAATCATTCACAGTTACTATTCACAAGGTACACATCCAATTATACAGCAGCTTAATGAAATGTTATATTTCCTTATCGTAATTTTCTTAGTAATTACGTAATGACGTATTATTTAATTAAAGGTGCAAGCATAATAACAAGGGGCGCATCATAAACACTTATCACTAGATCACATAATATGAAATTTTTGGTAACACTATCACATAATATGAAAGATTTGTGTAAGACTATTCTACAATTATCTCTTTATTGGCATTACTCTAAGATTCTGTAAGGTAATTATTTTTTACATAACAATTTGATTTCATTATTTGAATTACACTTTCTGTAGGGCAAATTGTTTTTTACATAAAAAATTAATCAAATTTGATACTTTTTTTTAACATGACTCATTATTAAACCACACAGTACGAAAGATTTGTGTAACACGATTCTATAAAATTTATATAATATAGATCCCAAATCTACTATAAACTCTTTATTATTCGCGTTACAGTTTAATCAAATGCTATATTTTTATTAACTTTATCTTATAATTAGATCACCGAAAGATATGTGTAACACTACACTATGAGTGTTACGTAGCTGCTGATGCAATGTATAAAGCTTATGGACAGATAGTTATTTTTTATATATCACTTAAAAAAACTCATAATGAATGTCTTTTGTAATGATTAAGACATAGAATTAGTTTATTATCGCCGCCAAAACACATATAACAAACTAGTTTTCAATTTATAGTTCAGCACTTCGATTTGAATTCATCAACGGTGCGAGCTGTTTGACTGCTAAGAAAATGATTAAGTTGTGTAACTCGCTTTGTAGCCGCTATGATTTGTTTAAACTTAGTAATCTCCATTAGAAACTAGATTTTTATTTTGAATATGAGGTTCAGTTGATTTCTTAATTGTTATCTTAGCTTATCATCATCTCCATTGGTAGCTTCCGATCAGTCTTTGATATTGAACTCTCTGCGATAACTATCCATTCTCTATTTGAATCATTTTACTTCCATTGGCAGGATGTTTTACGGGAGGGATTGGCGACGAATCACGTCCTTTTAATTTGTATGACCACATCGACCGTCTTCTGAGCTCCTTCCACAGTCTCTCTGTTTGGTACATGTATGTTAACATTATTCCTTCTATCATGTATACAATCATTCTATACTATGATAAATTCATATCACGGATATAATTTTATGTACATACTAAGTGGTACAACATGGTATAGACTGTTAACAAAATTACCATTTTTTATAAAAACACAATTAATCTGATTTTCTGCAATTTTTTTTAATTTCGACTTAAAACAAATAAGATAGCTCATTAAAATTTAGGTTATTCATAATCATACACCTATAAATTATGCCCTAGATCTGCTCCAAAAATAGTTGCAGGGTTTTGCTCATCAACTGTCTGATTGCTCTTAATGGCGGTGGCAAGACGAGCAATTGCTTCAAGACCAACTCTAGCATTCTCTTCCATTTCCAGTGTTGTAGGAAACACGTGTAGATCAAGTATAAAGTTGTGCTTGATTCTTTCCTATTGGTAAATTTGAGTAGTAATGGGTAATTATCCAGTTGGTGAAGTCCGCCGTATAACCTAGATGATTCAAGTAAAAGGGTTATAAATACATATTATGTGTAGTGGCCGAAGTCTGTAAGTGTGCGAGTATTAAACCTAATAAGACAACTGAAAACTCCTTGAGTGAGTATTTTGCAAGGTTTAGGAAACCCTACTGTATCGGCTGGTCAGATCGAAAATATTGGATATATATCTAACCTAAAACAATAGGCGGTTTTAGTAGTAGGAAATGGTTTAATCACGGTTAAATCACAGTGTTGGTCTGAAATATCCTATTACTCACTTTTCTAGTATAACCTCTGATATGGTTTCCTGAAACTTGATTTTTTGTAGATTAGTCACGTTCACAAGAACGAGGATACCACGTAAAAGATTCTATTTTTTCATCAGATTTGGATAGAAATCAAAAGTCTTGAGCAACTGGTATTGTTGTGTTCTTAGTTTAATAATTGTTTTTATCATGGTATCAGAACATCATTGACCACGAGCTTGTATGTCTCATATAAACTATACTTGAGTTTTGACGGTGGTGAATGACTAATCAAGCCCCATATGAAAATCAAACAACCAAAAATTCTCCGCCTGTTTAATTCTTCTTGTCATGACCACAGAGACGTAAACCACAAACACATGAATGAATAGGTGCTTTGTGCCTCTTCCCAAAGGGATCGAAGCTGGGTGTAGAAAGCTTTTCTTGCGGGAGGCACACTCCCCTGAGCGAACCACTCACGAAGATGCTCTTAATATGTTTTTTTAACTTCCTAAATATAATTTATCAAAAAAGTAATAAATAATTATTTTTTGCATACACACTTTGTCCTTAAAAACCATAATGACTACTACTTCATAATCAGTGGCGGAGCTAGAAAATTGGTCAAGGTGTGTCTTTATCATATCATAAAAAATCACATATATAATAGAAAAGTCAACTTTAAATGAAACAAAAAGTCAACAACGTAATACTCTAAATTCATACAATTACATAAAAATAGTTTCGCGTACACCGGTTACAACGTCAAACAAATAAGTTCGTTACATACAAGTCAAGACTTCCATTCATCAAATATTACAAATTAGAACTCAGAAGTACCTTGGAATTGAGGTTGTGAAACAAACAAGTGAACTTCGATTGGTACTTCTTCACTTTCATCTTTGTTTAAACAAAAGACAAGAGATTCCTCTATTGTAGAGCTACAAAAGAAATGAGCAAGTTTAAAAAAAGACAACAATTTATTACTATAAATAAAGACGAAAGTGCGTTGCATAACAAAACTCACTCGGTTAAAATGGTAAGGAATTCTCCTTTCAACTGAATGAACACCGGTTCGAATTTGTATATACCCCTACTGGGGGATTTTTTTTTCCAAACCCAAGATGGGTGCAAGCACCCCCTCCTCTCCAAGTGGCTCCGCCACTGTTCATAGTAATCGTCATAATCGCTCCCCTATCTGAGAAAATCCTACTAGACCGGTCAATCAATTCTAGAGGCCCTATTTCACGGATAAAATGAGGCCCAAAATTTTATTTTATAAAATACAAATTATTACATTATCTGAGAAAAAACACAAAATTATTGATAAAAAAAACAAAAAAATACAACAATAATACCTAAAAAGTAGTATGCTTCTTGCATTGTTTGAAATAAAGACGAATTCATTCATTTGTGTGGCCCAATTAAATAAAGAGAGTTTTATTTTATAAGAGGGCTATAATAGCCCAAAAACATATAACTAATATTTAGGTTTTTGATATTTGATGGAGGACCTGAAATTGCTGACTCCTACGTAGAAGCACTAATAATTATAAATTTATAACTAGCATCTTGCCCTACCTGTTGGTCGGGTTTGATTATTCGATTAGGCATCAATTTGATCCACTGATTTCGTTTCAATCTTTCATTATAAAAAAAAATAGAAATTGAAACCTTAATTGTATTGTTGAATAAGTATTTCATTTGCATTATCGGTAGGCACTGAAAGCCTAAAATCCTCAAAATGCAAGCAACAAATATAAATACAACTCACTCAAAGTCCAACAACGTAAATGAAATGTGTCGTTCCGAATAAAACATGAAAAGATATGACTAAGAAATAACGGCGTAGTATCCATTTTTATCTCTTTTTAAAGAGGCCAGTAGAGTGTCATTAAGATTAGCATTACCATTGTTGTTAAAAAAAAAATTAGCATTACCATTGCTCAATTCCTCATGCCAACACGATATATGGCTCTGTTTCTTTCATGTTTAGAAAAAATGATGAATAAATCCAGCTATCTGCCAGATGGAGCTCATGCGGATAGCAACCCCAACTCGTAAAGGAATAACTAGTTTTTCACCCGCCCGTTGGGCGGTGCATTTTTTATTTATTTATCGTTGTAATAGTCTAATCTTTTTATGGCTCATATATGTTATACTGTTATACATGAAATATTAAACTCAAATACCTTATTTAAGCAATTGTTTCACACGTTTTAGCTTTTGTTTATTAATATAAAAACTTTAATTTCATAAAATTAGTTATTGAAGATGGTTCTTTATTGATATAGAATTTTGTATCGAAAGCCACCGTTTATGATATAATTAGAGGATGTCAAAATTACAAAATGAATAGAAATAATTATATCACGCGTTCATTTAGTATTGAACCTGTCGATTACTGTTAAACAACATAAGAGATTATTATTCTTTTATCAAGCAAAAATGACCAAAGAAGTTAAAAAAAATAAAAGGCCACACTAATAATAAAAGTGGTAGACTTCAATAAAACTTAACTCATTCTATCTTAAACAATCCCCATCCATGAACAGGGATTGATTTCAGCCTAATTGTTTTCTTACCAACTAAGGAAACAAAAAAATGTCATTGTAAACGTGTAAAATTTGAAAGAACATCCACATAGACACACTGTTACAACAACCGCTTTCTTTCTTCTTTATCGCCTTTATGAAACACCGCATATTTCCCGTTTACTTAACACCTCCTAAATACTACTTAAGATCATCATTGTATAGCTAGCTAGTAGTCACTGTAGAACATAAAAAAACACAAAAACATCATACCCTCTCAACTTTGGTTTGCATTCCAGGGCCCATGGAATCATCATGCCATAGGCCTCTAAAGAAAACGATCAATTGTTCAATCAAGGAGAGATGCTCTAAGTCCGAGCAATTAACTCTTCCAATTATTTGTTACCTATTTACATAAAGTAGAATAGAGAATCGTAAAATAACAACTTGAAAAACAAATAAGAAACCCATTAATATAATCAAGTAGGCAAATTTTGGCCTGTCCCATAATTTGGTACAAAAGGGATACCAGATGAGTAGAAGAGTAGAACTTGGCCGCTCGACCTGCAGGCAGCCGCAAATCATTGGGGAAGAGAGACATGTCGCTAGTTGAAGATCAAGAGGAAGAGGGAGCAATTTGCAATCCTCAAATTGGTTCGCTTCGTCTTCGCAAAGTTGGGATGAATGTTTTTTTGTTAACAACCCAAAAAGATGTTACAACTGCTCAATTCCATATGCCTTGTCATTCCTCCCATGTATCTTTGTGTAAAAAAGTAGAGAGAAATGCAAGAAATCCCAAAATTTTGAGTAAATAAGAAGATAGTTTCCTTGTTTTTTACATGACTTTATCCAAATTGTTATTTCTTCTTCCTACCAGTGTTGGATTTTTCTTTTAAAAATATAAGCTATCGGGAAAAGGGATGGAAGCAAACCCAGAGAATGCATTGGAAATTAAACATTGTTCTTTTCTTAATTTACATTTTATTGATAATAATAATGTATTTAAAGTGTAAGCAAAAAAAGAATACCGATTACAATAAGAAGAGCCCACATTTGTAAAAAAAAAAAAAAGGAATTAGAAGAGTCCCCTTGGATGGTTGAGATAATGATTATATATTTAAGTGTAAGAAAAAAGATCATTAATTATAAATAAAAGAGCCCACATTTGTAAAAAAAAAAAGAGAAATTAGTAGAGTCCACCGTGGATTATTGAGAGTTAGCTATGTGCCTATGTGGCACTAATTTTGTTTTGAATCCCTATAATATTAAGTAAGGATGAGAACAGAGGTTTGTAATTGTGAAGAAGAATTGACCTTTATAACTGAAGCGTTTATCTTCTCTATCTTCTTAATTAATTGATCATTTCTATCTACCAGGTTTATCTTCTCTGTCTTTCTTTGTGCATGCAATTAAATAAATCTTATTGGAGTTGGAAAAGCTAGGGTAAAAGCAATGGAAATACATAAGTTAAGGGGGCGGGGCGGGCGGTAGAGTCACTCATATTCGCTTTGTTCTTTTCATGGATTGGGGCACGATTCGTCTTGTTCAGCGGCAAGTCAGATAAATCTACTTCAATACGAGTCAAATTGAACAAAATTTAGCGGATCAGATTTGTTTTGCAATTCCTAAGAATCACTATTGATTAGTAGGGTGATGTAGTTTTCATCTTTAAGGTTGCAGCAGTGTGTTGGAACTAATTATTTAAGGAACTAATTATTAGGGTAAAAGATTTTAAATAATAAGAAATTTACCTTTAATTATCAGGGGGCAGGGCCCGATCTCCCGAATAATATACAATTTTGGGTTTTATTTTTTGAGATATAGTTAGCACATATATGTATTATCGCACATTTAACACATCAGAATGTTAGCATTAAGGCTAATCATCTATGCATTCCGTACTTGATAAACATAGTTGGCAAAATTCGATTTAGTACTCGGTTAGCAACCATTACGTGCCCCGACCCGCGCCCCATGATAAATTACCCGACCTGTACCCGACCTGCCACGAGGCGGGTATGGGTATCGAGATACCTGGCCCGGACCTGCCCCATTGCCATTCCTATGAGTCGGTGAATAGGAGTGTCTGGCGGCAATTAGGGTCGTACCGCTGCTGGAGATTCGTAGCTGGGCCGCTGCTATTTGGGTTTGTGGAAAATTTGTTTAGAGGAGAGCGGGAGGAGCAAAGCTGCGGCCCAATTTTCCATTTGTGTATATAGCACAGGGTACTTGTTTAGGGGTCGAAAGCGGGCCAAATTGGGCAGCCCAATTTGTCATCAATGTGTGGGCTGGCTGGCTGCGGGTCCTTTTTCAGGGGCTTTAAATCAAGATGTATTCAATGACACTAATGCCCTTCCTAAAATTATGGGTTGCTTGCAAGCAGCTGATGTGGCAAACTCCATAGCTGCACTACTGTATATATATTGGTTGAGGTTGATATCAACTCTCCAAACTAAATAAATAAAGAAAGATACATGTGCGGGTTCCATGAAGCACCAACTCTCACTGGCAGTAGGTGAGTCATGCGTATTTTACATTCTCTCCCCTCACTTTTTCTGAAACATCCTTCCTATTATAGAAATGTGAAGGAAGTTCACATTCTTCCTACCAAGATTCCAACTTCCTTTCTAAAAACATAAAAAAATCCTTCCTATTATATCAATCTACTCCATCATTGAGAGAGTTGAGAGAAGAAAATTGTCCCAGTTGTTTGTTAGATAGACAATATTAAAGCATAGAAAAAGGGCTGGGTGTGGGCAGAATCCACCATGGTAGTAAAATGTCATTGAGAAACATAACACTACTGCTGGCTCAACCTTTCATCTTCCTCTTCATCCTTCCCCCCTTTTCCCAAACCTCCTCTTTACTAGGGGTGAAACCCATACAAATCGGTCCCTGAGAGTGCTGCAAGTACAAAGAGGGCTACTTTGCCGTAGTTGTAGGCCATATTCATGTCTGTTAGACCGGCGCCGTATGCGTTGCAGAAGCTGAGGGCGGGAGCCAGAATGTAGGCGACGGCTACATAGTACCATTTGACCTGGGGGAACATGAGAGGGATAACCACGACGAAGACGATGGAGAAGGCAAGATATCCTACACAGGGTACCCAAGCTGGTATCGTCTCCCTCATAAATACTTCATTTCTTCGGAGTTCTTCAACAGAGTACCTTCACAAAACTGTAAAGCCCATCTCCTAGTAACAAAGCAATAGAAATGAACACCTGAACAAAAAGAAGACAGAAGTTAGTCGTCGTCATGGCTAAATCAAGCTTCTTTTGCAAATGAGGGGAATTGCTGACCTTGTAGCCATTCAGGCTCTTCATGCTACTTTCTGGTAACTAGGAAGGAAACCAGTCTCCTTTCTTCCCACCAATAAGGGGCCACATTACATCGCAAAAGACAACAGCACCGAAAAGCAGTGACAGGTTGACAAGGTGGGAGCATATCATCCCCGCTCCAATGTATGTCATGCTGAAATTGAAATAGAAGCTGCAAAAGAACATATAATTAGCTAGCTAGATGAATCAATTTCCCATTGGAACCAATGATTTACGATTAGAGATCAAAAGAAGGATATTATTACTCATGTATTTTTAAAGGCGGCCAATCCAAGTGTGGGGAACTGAACAAACCCACATAGGATTTTTGAATCTGGTGCACCACTATAGAACCACTGAAAGCAAGCCCACATGAAGCTAAAAGAAAAGAACTTAAAGAACCCTCGGAGTTGCTTCCTGCACCACCACGACAAGTTTGAACAGCAAAAACAAAGCATTATTATACTAATCCTATCATGTTAATTAATCGAGTCATCAGGGTAATTAAATAACTGGTCGTGGTCTTGTACATACAACTCACTTGTCATAATTATAACCCAATAAAATAGAGACCAACCTAACCTCCCTGATTAGTCCTTAGCTTTCATTTGCTCCCTTATTATTGGTTAATTAAGGAATAATATCATTGGAAATACCATCCTTTAGCGAAAGTGCCATTTATATTACGTACTTTCAATAAACACAAAAATATTCCAACGAATTAGGGGTTTGCGTCATTTGTGTTACGCGAATTTCTGTTGACCACGATGGCGAGCCCAAAGAACACCCAACATAGAAGCATGCAGTGGTGGGGTAGGGCAGAGAGCCTTCAACTCCCAAGACCGCCATGTTCCTGTATATTAGAGCGTAGGGAGCCTTGTACTCGTTGTTCGGGTCCCCAACGTTGTAGGCCTTGTAGAACATGAAGAACGTGAGTGGGCTACAAAACAGCCTATGACGATGCCAACAGCTTGGCTAAGAACCATGGACCGCGGAGACATTAGGATGAGATGGCCCGTCTTTGAAATCGTGCATCAAATAGGAGGAGATGGAGACGATGGACTTGATTAGCCCACACCCTACCATGCCTGCGATGACGCCATTCTCCATCTTGATTTTCTTAATTTTTATCTTAGCTTATCATTGTCATTGATATCTCATCGCGTCTGATCAATTTTAATCTTTGATATTGAACTCTCTGCGATAACTATGCATTCTCTATTTGAATCACTTTTACTTCAATTACCAACTGGGGCAAAGCCAAAAAAGATAATGATATATACTATTAATTCGATAAATAAATTGATAAAATCATATTGAAAATACATGTTTCAAAAGCAAAAGGAAATTACCCTGTATTTTGTAGTATTTTTCTATCTCAAAATATACATTTATAAAAACAAGATAGTTATCCCTTATAAAACAACCAACCTTGTACCCGGCCCCTTGGCCAGATGAGTTTTGTTTATCATTTGCATTTATCAATAATTATAATGATTAATTGGATTTTTTAGTATTTTATATTGTTGTAGTTTATTATTCGAAACGTATTTTGTTATCTTAATGCATGTCATGAAACATTGACCCATTATAGTTAATTTGTCAAATAAATTCTCAACAAAATAGTTATAAGTTCTTAATGTAAATGATCTCAACTTATACCCTAACACTAAGCTAGCTTACCTTGAAGGAGTTCACTATACACTATTGTGACTAATTGAAATTGGGTGTATGACCGTAAACTATGATTTCTTTCCTATACTTTGACCTTTTTTTGAATACCCGTAATTCATAATGAAAAAGTACTTATTGTGTAATCAACTCAATGACCTTAAAATTTTTGACTATAAACATGAATAATATAAAATCCAATATAACGGATACACCCTAGTGTTAGAAATAAGGCGTAGTTATACCACGTAATTCTTATAATGTTTGTAACTAATGTTTACTCATTTTTTTGTTGTATTATGCAATTGTATATATCTCCTTTATGACTTAATAATACTCACCACAGTCAAACTTAGTATGTTATCACAACCATCACAGTCGCACAACCAAATCCTAAATTCTAATTTTTGTGCCACTTCATTCTTCTTCTTGTTGTTATGTTTACCGATGGAAATGACTCATCTACTCCGCTGTTGGATGAAAATGGGTCGGAATCTCTCTAAACCATCTTCATCCTCATTTTCCAAAATCAAAACCCGTACCCGACCCATATCCATTTGAAGAGAGGTTTTGAAACTACATTCCCAATCTGTGATTTTCGGATACCCGTGGATAATAGTCGCCTCGTATATATCCAATAGTATTATGCCTAGAGTTTATACAATAAATCTTAATAACATATAAATTTTGGATTATAACCAAAACTTGTACACGCTCCATATCCATTTGAAGAGAGGTTTTGAAACTCCATCTCCATATCCATGATTTTCATTCGTGGGTAATACTCACCTCGTATATATTCAATAGTAATAGGCCTAGAATTAATATAATAAATCTTTCTAAACATACAAAATTTCAAATTAACACACATTTCTGTAACATATATTTTTTTCCCATAAGATAATCACTATTTTTAGCATCCAATCAAATTAATTTAAGAATTTTTTTGTGGGGCGAGTATGGCTATGGCCTATGGGTATTGATGCTAGAGAGTATATCCACTCCAATCCATCAATCTTTTAGGCCTATCCTCCCCCGTACCCAGTTAATACGGGGATTCCATGTAGGGGTGGGCAATGGAACGGTCCATGCCGGATCACACCGGACCAAATCGTTTTCTGGACCGAACCACACAGAATCGAATATAATTTGGTTTGGTTTTTGGTCCCGTGAATTTTATAAGTATTGAAGAAAAATGAACCAAATTCACTTTTGGATCGGACCAAAGTGGACTAAAGCGAACCAAATTCACTATTGGTCTGGTCCTTGGTCCTAAGATATCTTTCACTATTGGACTGCGGTTTTCCTGAGTTTGGTCCGATTCGATCCGAACAGACCGATACCCACCCCTAATTCCACGTATTTATTGGGTTGGGGTGGTCGGATACCCACGATCGTGGTTTTAGTTGCGATCGTGGTCGGATACCATACACGCCCCATATCCATTTGAAGAGAGATTTTGAAACTCCATCTCCATATCCGTGATTTTCATTCGTGGGTAATACTCACTTCGTATATATTCAATAGTAATATGCCTAGAATTAATATAATAAATCTTTCTAAACATACAAAATTTGGGTTATAAGATCAAATAGAGCTAAACCATAAAGTCAACAAAGATATAATCATTATTAATTCAAATTCAAAACACCCATTTCTGTAACATATATTTTGTCCATAAGAAAATCACTATTTTTAGCATCCAATCAAATTAATTTAAGAATTTTTTTGTGGGGCGGGTATGGGTATGATGCTAGAGAGTATATCCACTCCATCCCATCAATATTTTAGGCCTTCTCCACTCGTACCAAGTTAATACGGGGATTCCATGTAGGGGTGAGCAATGGGTCGGTCCATGCCGGATCACACTGGACCAAACCGATGTCTGGACCAGACTATACCGAATCGAATATAATTTGGTCTGGTTTTTGGTCCCGTGAATTTTATAAGTATTGAAGAAAAATGAACCAAATTCACTTTTGGATCGGACCAAAGCGAACCAAATTCACTATTGATCCGGTCCTTAGTCCTAAGATATCTTTCACTATTGGATTGCGATTTTCCTGAATTTGATCCGATTCGATCTGGACCGGACCGATGCCTACCCCTAATTCCACATATTGATTAGGTTGGGGTGGTCGGATACCCACGATAGTGGTTTTAGTTGCGATCAACCCAACACCTACCCTTCCTCTCAAATTCACCTCCTTTCGGAATGGTTGGGTCATGCCTCTGCTTCTTAGCCTCGATCTGCTTGGCTACATTGATGGAACGACTCCAACTCCACCTCACCAGATTACCAAGGATGAAATTGACACGTAGAATTCTGCCTAATGCCACTGGTTACATCATGATCAACTACTTTTGAATTGTATTTGCTCCTTATGAGTCTAGCTACAGCCTTTTGTATCAATTACTAACCAAATTCTCATGCTTCTTGAAAAACTCTTCACAAGCGCTAAACCATCAAAACTCATTCTTGAGCGATAATCCTCAAATATCACCTTCGATTGGAGCAGCATGGTGATTGTGACATGTATGCATGTTTGCTCTCCATTTAGTCTATCACTTCTGAACTCTCTTTCATTGGTGCTACTATTTCTAATGTTGATGTTGTGCTTTAATGCCTTCTTGGCATTTACCTAAACTATTACTCATTCTTTTCCATCATCCATCTAGTGAAAGTCCCATTGAGATTGAGTAGTTGTTTGATTATATCCCTGATTTGGAAGCCGAGTTTCTGCACACCAAAAAATTAATGGATTCTTGTGATGCCATGAATGTCTTTCACATCTTAGTGTGGTGCTCGTAGTGGTAGCTTTCAGCCTGAGTACACGATTATGGTCTTCCTTTGTAATCTCATATGTAGTTCTCTTACCGTAGCAACAACAACAAACAATGATAGAGGAATTCTCACTTCACTTGTTGGTTATCAAATAGTAAATAGAGGATATCCTCGTCATTCTCAAGTTCAATGTCAACTAGGTAGGATTGTGCCGCGCTTCGCTGTGGTGTGAGCAACATTCTTGGACTGGATTTGATAACTCGTAGAACTCTATTAGTAACTGAGAAATTTTACGATGTTATATAGAATTGGTGCTATAGGTTTTTACCTTTATATATGGTACAACTTGAAATTGTACCTTTAACGTTATGGTATAACTTCATATTGTACCTATACATTTTCTACAAATTCATTTATGGTATATCTTGAACTTGTACCTTTATTTGATGGTACAACTTCAAGTTGTAAAGTTATACTATAACATAATGATACAAATTCCTTTATGGTACAACATAAACTTATACATTTAATGTTATGGTATAATTTTAAATTGTACATTAAAACACCGATACTATATAGCATAGTAGAAATGCTCTTAGTAACTTACTTGGTTTTAGTTGGTAAGTATTAACGAAACACAATAATCACTCTTCTTTACATGTGCGGGTGGGGATAAGTGATTTGATTTGAGTTTCAATATGATATAAGCAAAAGACAAAATAGAAAACACCATAAATGGCAATGAAAAATAAAGATACATTGAAGTTTGAACTCAACTCTGCAGTTGAGCTTACTTGAACCATTGCTGAAGGATCTACTCGTGTCAACCTTACCTTATTAGGAGTTTGCTAGCCTCGCTCTCGCTCGCAACCAAGGTTGTCAAACCGCGGGTCGACCCGGACTCGGACGAACTAGTGGGTCATGGGTCAATGGGTCACCCGTTTTAGCCCGATTTAGCCCGGCTTAGCCCGGAAAAGACAGATCGAGAGTTATAGAACATGGCGGGTATAGATGAAGAAAGTCAGTGTGGCTGCAAAAATGGAGTCCTGCCATTTTCCTCCACACTAATGCAAGTCTCCTTTCACTTCACTTCTCGAAATCTTATTTCTCCTCCTGTAATCAGTCCTCTGATGAGTAGTTATTGCCATTTGCCAGGTCACTGCGGAAACTGAGAAAGAGGAGAGGAAGCAGTTGGATAAAGCCATGTCGCGAGCAGAGGCGCGAGCAGAGGCCGAGCAGAGGCGGAGCTGAAGGGAGGAGAGACGGAGCCGTGAAGGCGACCTGTTCTTCCGCCGGCGACCGCACCGCGACCGCGTCGCCAAAGAACCCTGGTGATGGCTAGAAGAAGAAGTTTCGTTGCAGGGAGAAGAAGAAATGGAGTCTCTAGGGTTTCGCTGCAGGGAGAAGAAGAAGTGAACCCGAAGCGGCCAAAACAAAAACTGCGCCGAACCCTCCTTCTCGCCTTGGAAGAGCGCACTGTTTATTCCAAGCAAAAACGGCGCCACAGCGGCCAAAACGGGGCTCAGGAGAGCAACCCGCTGACCCGTTCCAACGGGCTAACCGGCCGGGCCAACCCGGGTTTGACCGGGTTTATCTGGGTTTGACCATTTTCGGGCTGATAACAAAAAGGGTTGGTATGGCCCGTTTTTTTGTCCGGGTCCGGGTTAATCCGGGTCTACCCGTGGGTCGACCCGCGGGTTAACAACCTTGCTCGCAACTTTTGGGGCCAAGATCAGGTGACTAAGGGGGTTCCTTAGTCACTTGCCTAAGTCGATCTCAGTCATATAAGCTCATTAAAATCTAATGGTTCCAATTAATTCAATTTAATGAAGGGTAATGTAGTAATTGCATGGTTATTTTATTTTTTAATTATTAAATAATTTTAAAAAACTCTATTAACGATCCATTCTCCCCCTCCGTTTCCAGCGACGTTCTCCACCGGCCATAATTTTTCGGCGCCAACGTTCTACCCCACCGGTCATCATTTTTGCAGCACTGGCTTTCTACCCCGCCGATCATCATTCTCCCCGGCGTTGTCGTTGTCCCGCGCCGACCATCAATCTCACGGCCAACTATTTCCTTTGTGCGTCATTTTTCCTTTTTTGGCGCCTCCCAGAATCCATTCCCGGAGAGAGAGATTGGCGGCGGCGGTCGTCCTATTACGCTCCCCATTTTGTTTTTGCAGCCGGCGGGATTTTCATCCCTTCCCCATTTGGTTTTGCACCTGTAGGATTTTCATCCCTACCACGAGAGAGAGAGAGAGAGAGAGAGAGAGAGAGAGAGAGAGAGAGAGAGAGAGAGAGAGAGAGAGAGAGAGAGAGAGAGAGAGAGTTTGTACTGTTAGTATGCTTTGTATTGTTTGTCGGTTTATTTTGTAATGTTTGTACGCTTTATTATTTTGTAATGTTTGTCGGGTTTTTTTTTAATGTTTGTACGCTTTGTTATTTTGTAATGTTTGTCGGTTTTTTTGTAATGTTTGTAAACTTTGTTATTTTTGTGTATCGTGTTTATCATTTTTGTCAACCATGTTTGTAATGTTTTTTATGTCTAAAAAACACCCGGGTTGACTTTGGGAAGGAGCCCCTCTATATAGGGATGGAGTCTCCAAAGTCAACCCGGGTGTTTTTTCAGTTCGTATGGATTTTCGGTATAGTTTGTCATTTTTGTCCACCATGTTCGTACTGTTTGTATGTCTAAAAAACACCCGGGTTGACTTTGGGAAGGAGCCCCTCTATATAGGGATGGAGCCTCCAAAGTCAACCCGGGTGTTTTTTCAGTTCGTATGGATTGTCGGTATAGTTTGTCATGTTTGTCCACCATGTTCGTACTGTTTGTATGTCTAAAAAACACGCGGGTTGACTTTGGGAAGGAGCCCCTCTATATAGGGATGGAGCCTCCAAAGTCAACCCGGTTGTTTTTTCTTTTTGTATGGTTTGTATTGTTTGTCGGTCTAGTTTGTATTGTTTGTACAGTTCATACGTTTGTAATGTTTGTATGTTTTGTCGCTCTAGTTTGTACTGTTCGTATGTTTGTATGGTTTGTACTGATTCTAAGTCCGGTTGTATACTTCGTAATTTTCCATAATACCCAAACTACCCCTGTCATTAATTAAATAGCCCTTCCCACTTTTTAACCATTGGATTGAAGTGTCCAGATCTAATGGCTAGGAGGGGCTTAGTCACCAGATCCGCTCTCCAACTTTCGTGGTTTAGAAATAAAATCAAGATGACATTTTTTCCTTCTTGTCGATACTCATTGTTGGTCGTCTCGGATCTGGGGATTTAAAGAAGTTAGATAATTCCTATATGATCCTAGAAACCATTTTTCACCATTACATCCCCAGACTCCAATCATCTCCATTTTCCCTTCGTTGTCATTCTTCATCAAATCTTAATCAAGGTTTTCGTCGGGATGGCGGTGATTTAAGAAAAAGGAAAGGAAAAAAATTCCACCGGTAAAAATACAGAGACACAGTATGCGATAGAAGGGTTTGGGAAAAAGTCTCTAGTTTCTTCTGGACGTAAATCGAGACACGAGTTAGAGCAAAGCGCGTGTCAAGAACTCAAGATCATGGTTTTCAAACCAATGGTATGCCAAATTCAATCTGCATCAGGAAAAAAATTAGTTGGAAGGCTACGATATGAATCGATAATCACAACTGGTAAAAACAACTTAGAAAAGAATGATTCGACCAGAACTATTAATTTTCAATCTCTAAACAAAATGATGTCATTAGGTGAATTAAATAACAAAAAGAAAGTATTTTGTCAGATTCAAGTATGAACATTGGTAAAAACGAATAAAACTTAGAAAGAATGATCGACAAGAACAATTAATTTCCGATTCCCTAAACAAAATGACATCATTTGGTGAACTAAATAACAAAAAGAAAATAATATTTTGGATCCAAGTATGATCGTTTGGATATTGATGCTATTTATAGGATTCAAGTATACAAATTTGGATTTTGAGTTGCATTTAAATATGATAAATTATCCTTTCAGAAATATGGTATTTTAATTAGATATGAATGTAGATTACAGGTATATATTGTAAAAATCAATACATAAATCGATCGGAACATACTATTTGCTAAATATAAACCGACGTAATTTCTCACTTTTATCGTAAATATATTGTAAAAACCGATGTATATCAATACATAAATCCATCGTAACATACCATTTGCTAAATATAAATGGTTTGACAATTTTGTATTCTTTTCTTCTTTATATTAGAGAGCTTGGAAAATCTCTCTATTTACATCTGCCTTTTCCAGTTCGGTTGTCCTGTCCTATTGAGAAAGCTTATGTGGGTGAGGGAAGAAAAGTGACAGCATGTCATGCTAGAAAAACTATCTGGGTCATCCTTCGTCGAAAGCTCCGATCCCACTCGTCTCTATTAGGGGTGGGAAACGGTGCGGTCCGATCTAGACCAAACCATAGATACGGTCTGTGGTCTAGATCGAGAGATTGGAACACAGACCATGGACCAGACCATATACTACGGTCCAGACCACACCTGTGCGGTGCGGTCCGGTATAGTCTGGACCAGACAGACCATGTTAAAAAAAATTAACTCTTGTTCGCCCTCCAACCCTTCACCGCTATCTGTAAAAAAAATCTAGTGACCAATATGCTAGTGAAACAAAAAAAATTGTGATCGTATTAAATGAGAAGAAATATGAGGATAGAAGTGGGGTTTTTCAATTTTCAAATAGCCTTATTTCCCTATTCCTCTTTGTGCTACCGCTTCTCTCCTCTCTCGAGTGATCTGAAGGTTCTCCCAGTTGATAACATTTTTGATGACGTCGAGGTAATTTCGAACCACTAAGATGGTCGCATATCTCTCAATAATTTTCCTTATCTCATCAAGGTGAACGAATTTTTTTGTAGTGTTTAATTTTTATCGACTCCATAGTCTAGACATTATCTGTGAATATTATTTATGAGTCTTTCTAATTTTTGTGTGGTACTTTGATAAGGAGATAACATATAAGCGATCATTTTGCAATTTGTTGGCTCTCAACTAGATGAAGAATCAACTAACTTTGTTCTTCAAATACACATATGGAGGTTCAATTTAGTGTTTTTTTTTTTTGCTCAATTGCAAGTTTAGTCACTCGAATTGCTATAAAATTTCATGTTTGCCACTCAAATCAATTTATTCCATTTATAGTCACTCGAATTAGTTGAACAGTTCAAGTTCGGTCACTCTCCGTTAACTTTGACTGACGTGGCGGTCAACTCTGACAGTTGACCGTTAAATGTGTGACGTGGCAAATAAAAAATAATTAAAAAATAAAAATTAAATTTTTAGAAATTACACATCATTATAAAAAAAATTATAATTATAAAAATGAAAAAAAGACATATTGACGAAAAAAGTCTGATCCGTCAAAACTCTGACCGAACTACCTCACCTTCCCGGCTGTGAGATCTGGTTGGTTGCCGGTTTGTCTCCAATTCGGGGCAAACGGAGAAACGCAGGAAAACAAAGATGAAAATTCCCAACCCGCCATGAACAAATTCCCGAGAAAATTCCTCTCCGTTTCTTATCGATTCCTAGCGACCAAACACCCTGCCGAGAAAAAAAAAATTTCACTTGTTTCTCACTTCACAAACGACCAAATCACCCGCCAGACAAGAGATTCCCACTGCCCATTTCCCTCCCCCCGCCAGATCATTCACCACCACCACGATACAATAATGCCGTCGTCGCAAATCCTCCCCGTCACCACAATCCACCACCATAAATCCCCCCAAAATTTGGGGAATTCCTCCTCGCCGCCAATTGCAGAGACTTCGCTGTCGATCAAAGAAGAAGACGAAGAGGAGAGTGTTAATCAGATGGTGATGAACCTAGTCATCGACGACCCTTCAACCCGGCTACTGATTTCTTCCTCCGACGAGATTACCACATCCCACAAGAAGCCTCTGCTGTCGCGGAATTCTAGTTTTTCAGGTATTTCCACTGCCAGAAGTAGTACTAGTAGTAGTGGTAGTAGCAGTAGCGAAGGGTTCGGCAAGTTTTATGATCACAACAAGAAGAAGAGGCGTCGTCGGACGGCTAGTGAAACGTGTCTGCTTTCCTCGATTGTTTGTTCAGATGGTGGTGGCGGTGGTGGTGGGGCGGGGGATGAAGTGAGCGGCCGGCAGCAGTCGTTGAGCCGTGAAGTGGGTCATGCGGCGGCCGAGACGTTTCTGCTTACCAGATTGAGTTTGCAGCTCTTGACCTATCTTGGGTACTCATTTTTTTTTGGATTCTTCCTCTTTTGGTTTGTGCTGCTTTGGTTCGTAATGGCATTTCTGCAAACAATTGTGGTTGCTGAGCATTTCTGTTTATTCAGGGTAGGCTATAGATGGGTGATGAGATTTGTTGCTCTTGGTTTCTACTCGTTGATGCTTATGCCGGGTTTCATTCAAGGTTTGTGATGCCCACACTGCTTTCCTAGTAATGTTAAGTTACCATCCAGCATCAAAGCTTCTATCTTTGTGTGCAGTTGGATATTATTATTTCTTCTCCAAGCAAGTGATCAGAAGTGTAGTTTATGGTGATTTGGTGGCGAGAACTACTACATCACCTTCGACGCTACTGACCTGCTGTCGTCTGATCCTAATCGTGCTAAGAGAACCTATCAAGCTGAGGTTTACCGGAACATTAGTGGCGTTCTGTCAAAAAAAAAATTATAATTTCTTTTTTTTTCATTTTTTATAATTATAATTTTTTTTATAATGATGTGTAATTTCTAAAAATTTAATTTTTATTTTTTAATTATTTTTTATTTGCCACGTCACACATTTAACGGTCAACTGTCAGAGTTGACCGCCACGTCAGTCAAAGTTAACGAAGAGTGACCGAACTTGAACCGTTCAACTAATTCGAGTGACTATAAATGGAATAAATTAATTTGAGTGGCAAACGTGAAATTTTATAGCAATTCGAGTGACCAAACTTGCAATTAAGCCGTTTTTTTTTGTCCAATTTAGTAGGTAATGTGCCGCGGTCTGTTACGGTTTACTGCGGTAGACCACGGTCCAGACCACGCACTAAAGGAGGAGACCGCAAACCAGACCAAACCATAGTTCTGGTCTCACGGTCCAGACCAAACCATACGATACAGTCTAGACCGCGGTTTCCCATACAGTTTGGTCTGGATTCCCAGCCCTAGTCTCTATTGGTCTCACTCACTCTCGATTACCTCTCAATTTTCATAGTCCCACCTTAGCTTGTGGTTCGTGTCTTTCGAATGTCTATTGTATTGAGTTCCATACCATTTGATTTCATATCACAAATCTCTAACTAATCAGATACTCCAAACTTGATAACATTAATCATATATACATTAAAAAGAAAAAACACTTAAAAAGAAAAAAAAAACACGAAGGTTGATACTTTAAGGGCTAGCTTACTCTGTTGTAACTTTTGATTGGAACTTTAAAGAAGCATTACAAAAACTTAATATAAGATGACTGAAATGGATTTATATATAAATATGTATACAAAGTCAAATAAATAAATAAATAGTCAGAATGAATCTTGTTGAATTTATTTTATTAAATAATTTAATTTAACTATTAAGTTATTATTAAAATTATATATATGAAAGAGATTTATATAACATTATAAAACTTATAAGGATAATCTTGTAATTCAATATTGATTTTTGCAGAAACTCCATATCGGAATTTATTTTTTATGCTTGAAAAATAATTTTCATCTTTTTCAAAAGTCGTGCTTATGTAGGTATTTGGCTCAATTTTATCTTTTGAAGTAGAAAAATACTTTACAAGCGAACTTATGTAGGTATTTGGCTAAATATTCAAATGCACTTTACACTCAAAGTATTTCTATAAGAACATCTAATTTATATTTACTATTTTCAGTTCCCCTTATACTTGAGGTTAGACCTGCAAATTACAATCCGACCCGTTGACCTGACCCATACCCGCCCAAAAAAAAATAGAAGTTTTTAAAATCTTAAAACTGAATAACCCGACCCGATTAACCTGTGATTTTTGGGTCCGGTTGGGTGGGTTAGCGGGTCGACCCATTAGACCCGTTTCATTTCATATGTCACTCTCAAAATGATAAAATCACTCATAAATAGGTATGTTTAGAAAAATTCATGAGGATTTGAAAGGGTAGTTTAAGAATATAATCAAATATCATGGGTTTCTCACTTTCTTGTAGTAGTTTACTCTTGTGATTGTTTTTTGACGATTTGTGAAATTTTCATTTCATTTCATTAGCATGAGAAAATTTGAGAATATGTTAATTGACATGTGTTAGGTAAACTATTGCCATGCATACGTGAATATTTGTGTTCTTTTAAAAAATATGAAGCATGTTTGATATTGTTTCTGAGAGGGCTCATCACCCGAAACAACTTGTAACCTGGCCCGAAACCCGATGGGTTGGGTCAATAGTTGACCTGAAATCAACTAACCCAATATGAGCCCACCCGTAACCCGAGACCGAATCAGACAAACTCAGAAAAACTGCGGTCCAATAGTGAAAGATATCTCAAGACCAAGGACCAGACAATATTGCATTCGATCCGTTTTGGTCCGGTCTAAATGTCAATTTGGTCTATTTTTCTTCAATACTTGTAAAATTAATAGGATCAAGATCGGACCAAATTATATTAGATTCAAAATGATCCGCTCCAAACATCGGTTTGTTCAGGTGTGGACCATCCCATTGCCCACACGTGTTTGCATTCTTAATTGATTTCTTGCCATAAACAAATACACTTTGGCAAAGAGAATAGTAAATTTATAACCATAGACAAATGCAATTTTGAAAAGAGGGACCTAAATTGCTCATTCATCTAGTGAGGATCTACTTTTAACCCCCCCGCCCCCCCGCCCGGTAATTACAGAAGAAATCGAACAAAAATTATGACACAAAATGCATACAGAAGATGGAGATGGATCATAGATAATGTGATTTGAGTAGGTATGAATTACAAAAGGCTTCACCATCTCCAAACACGACATGTTTATGGCAATACAAATCAGTATCACAACTTGTTAATAGACTTGATAACAGAGAAATTTCACCTGAATGGCCCCAAAAAATCAACAATAATTCACCGAGTCCACAACTAGGCAACGCGAATCTCAGCAATTAGCAAAGAGGTGAAAGTGAAAAAAGTGTTTCACAAATGGAAAAAGATGAGAACTATAGCTACAGAATGAACAACACTGGTAATTTGACCACAAAATTTGGAAATGGAAATGGTGGACATCAGTGGTTGGTATTCTAGACCCTAAATTAATTTGTTCAAGTTTAGGAAGCGGCAAAGACGTTATATTTTACATGAAAAAAGAAAGGGTTAATGTTTACGTAATATGAGACTAGGTTGGGGAACTAATCAACCAACTCTCAAATAGGAACCTTATTCGTTTCAGACAAGTCCCAAATTTCTTAGCTTTCTGTATATCAAAGATCATTTTGTTTTTTCTATAGAGTTCAAAATTCATTGAAAAATGGTACGCATTACAACTTCATTCAGACCAAGGGGAGGCATAGAGGGTAAGAAAAATATGGTAGATTCAAGTACTCCATATATATTTACATAGGAATAACAAAACCATGTTCTGATTAGCTACCCTAATTGTTCAGAAGTGTGGACTGGAAGTATTATACAAAGCACACTCTAGTCTATGGGGATGAGAAGTACAAACTAATTACAGCTAAAATCCCAACCGTTGATTGGAAAGGCAACAAAGAGAAACGTACACCTGCAACCTGCAATAAATAACGCAACTAAAAACCAAGAACATGCAGAACAAATGGAAATTGGAAGAGAATGCTGCATCCATAACACAAACCGATATCATTAATAGATGAGACCAAATTACTTGGCCCAAATTATAGCAAATAAGCTATAAAAAAGGGGTTATAGGTATAATATGCCCTTCTACTATGATATTTTATCAAACATGCTCCTCTACTATTTTTTACATCAAACATGCCCTTGTACTTTGGAAAACTTATCAAACATGCTCTTTTGTTAAAATTTCCATCCAAAAATCGTTAACCAAGACCGAACTTTGGTTTGGGCGACCTAAATATCTAAAATATCCCTAATTATTTCACTTTAGAGTTTTTTTTTATCTTTTGTATAGCCAAATAATTCTAATAATTTCACTTTGACGAGACCTAGAGAAATAAAACAAGAGTCAAAACTAACATTTTCCCTCCCATTTATCGATGTCAGGTCGTCTAAATCTCGGTTCAACCATGATTGTCAATTTTTTCAATGGAAATTTCAACTTAAGGGCATGTTTGATAATTTTTTCAAATTACAGGGGCATGTTTGATGTAAAAAATAATAAAGGGGCATGTTTGATAAAACGTCATAGTAGAGGGGCATATTATACCTATAACCCTAAAAAAAACTATTATAGCATAAACCTGCAACGATAACAATAGACATAATAGGGAAGGAAGGAAATTGTTCATTGCCGATGGAGGAAATTGGCAGCCCAAAAGACAATGCAAAGTAGTATTTAAACCTACTGATATATAAGTTCAATGAACCATTCTATACTACTATATATCCACCCTGGAAAATGCCCAACCCGAGAAAGTAAGTGGCATCTCATGTTTCCCCACTCCCTTAGAGCGTCCAGGGGATCAAAGTTTATTTTATTTTCAAATATGTGAAGTGGTTGAAATAAAATTGAGAGAGGTACCTTAAGGAGGTAGGTAGCTATTTAATACGCCCCTGGGGTGTATGTTATCAAAGTAACGCAGCAAACGACTCAATCGAAGAATCGATTGAGCTCGAATTAAGAACGAAGCGCTCTTAATACGAACTTGGGATAAAACGGAACCAACGGACAATTCCACACCTGGGGAAAGCTCGTATGGTATTAAAAGGGTAGCTGCTCGACCACGATTGAAGTGACTATTCAATCGATACACAAGCTCAGCAAGGTTGGAATCCACCAAACCAAAAACAAGTCGCAACTTGCACAAACCAAACGGTTTCGATTTCTATTCAACAAAGTCTTCATTTTACAACGAAATAGAACGCTATTTAAAGGCAAATCAAACCTAATACAATCATAGTATAACTAGGAAACAATTAAGGTAAAATTCTACACTAAAAAGGACACAAAATTCGAGTTTAAACTTCCTTTCTTGAAGCACAAGTAAGCTGCCAGCAAACAGTCAAAAATCAGCTTTCGTACTAACTTCACACCTTTTGTACAAGGCCTTCTAGAACTCCGATCTTTCATCCGATTCCTTCCCTTGGTAGATAAACATTCCTAGTTTCATGTTGTAGAAGCCTTTGGTCTCGAATCAGATCCATGCTCCTTGAATTGAGCTCCAAAGTAGGCTTCACAAAACAGTTTCCAGACTTAACCATTTTCTGGCAGTTTTCCAGTTTTGAGGTAGCAACTTTGAGGACTTGAAAAACAACCTTAATGACATCATCTGGATTTACAAAGCATACCATTGGAAAGGTGGCAACTTTATCTGCAAAACAAACTCTTAAAATGGAATTTCCACCAAGCCAATTGAGAGAACCATGCCTCCAAAGTATGTACCCTGAACACGGATTTTGACTTAGCCAAATTCTGCCTTTCTTCTTCCCAACTTTGATAGCTTCTTTGTCAAGTAATTGTGACGTGAATTGTGGGCAATTTGGGATCATATCACTATTCGTGGAAGGCCAATGTATAGTGAATTCACAAACCTGATGGCGAAACTGGGCTTCATAGGGAATCCCGAAATGGCAGCGCCCGGTTGGAGTTCAAATTAAAAAGCAAGGTAATACGGAACCTAGCAATCTAATAAGAGTAAGAGATGAAGGAGTTCAAATTGGTGATTTGATGTCCGTTTACATAACTTAATCTGGTATATTTCAGAGTTTCAATTCGAAATAACAACGAGTGATCACTCGAGACTTTGGTCATAAAATTCAAAACACAACTTGAGGCAACAAAACCTTGACCCTTATTTCTTAGCACGATTCTCGTAAAGATGAACAAATTCCTATTGCCTTGCATGTTGGTTAGTGCTATGAACATAAGTGGGCGTTTATGATTTTATGCTCATGTTCTTAGATCACTTCACATCTTTCTTTAGATCACTCCAAGTGAGCCAGAGCATAAATTTAAAAATAACACACATGGCATACACAAATTATTAACATAATTCTCATAACCCTAAACAAATATCTAGTGCATAATGACTCAATCAACTATGTTATCTTTTGACTCTTCTAGTTTATGGTCCTGCCATTTGCGATTTGGGGCGGACATCAGTCCGGTCCGGACCAAATTAGACAAACTCAGAAAAACTGCGGTCCAATAGTGAAAGATATCTCAAGACCAAGGACCAGACAATATTGCATTCGATCCGTTTTGGTCCGGTCTAAATGTCAATTTGGTCTATTTTTCTTCAATACTTGTAAAATTAATGGGATCAAGATCGAACCAAATTATATTCGGTTCGGAATGATCCGCTCCAAACATCGGTTTGTTCAGGTGTGGACCATCCCATTGCCCACACGTGTTTGCATTATTAATTGATTGGCTTGGTTTTATCCATTCTTATTGATTTCTTGCCATAAACTAATACACTTTGGCAAAGAGAATAGTAAATTTCTAACCATAAACAAATGCAATTTTAGAAAGAGGGACCTAAATTGCTCATTCATCTAGTGAGGATCTACTTTTAACCCCAACAAAAATTATGACACAAAATGCATACAGAAGATGGAGATGGATCATAGATAATGTGATTTGAGTAGGTATGAATTACAAAAGGCTTCACCATCTCCAAACACGACATGTTTATGGCAATACAAATCAGTATCACAACTTGTTAATAGACTTGATAACAGAGAAATTTCACCTGAATGGCCCCAAAAAAATCAACAATAATTCACCGAGTCCACAACTTAGGCAGTGCGAATCTCCCAGGGCTCATCACTGTCCGGCCTGTAGAGTTTGTGTTTAGTGAATGATATGTCAGCGTAGGAATTAGTAAAGTGAAAAAAGTGTTTCACAAATGGAAAAAGATGAGAACTATAGCTACAGAATGAACAACACTGGTAATTTGACCACAAAATTTGGAAATGGAAATGGTGGACATCAGTGGTTGGTATTCTAGACCCTAAATTAATTTGTTCAAGTTTAGAAAGCGGCAAAGACGTTATATTTTACATGAAAAAAGAAAGGGTTAATGTTTACGTAATATGAAAGTAGGTTGGGGAACTAATCAACCAACTCTCAAATAGGAACCTTATTCGTTTCAGACAAGTCCCAAATTTCTTAGCTTTCTGTATATCAAAGATCATTTTGTTTTTTCTATAGAGTTCAAAATTCATTGAAAAATGGTACGCATTGCAACTTCATTCAGACCAAGGAGAGGCATAGAGGGTAAGCAAAATATGGTAGATTCAAGTACTCCATTTATATTTACATAGGAATAACAAAACCATGTTCTGATTAGCTACCCTAATTGTTTAGAAGTGTGGACTGGAAGTATTATACAAAGCACACTCTAGTCTATAGGGATGAGAAAGTAAGTGGCATCTCATGTTTCCCCACTCCCTTAGAGCGTCCAGGGGTCAAAGTTTATTTTACTTTCAAATATGTGAAGTGGTTGAAATAAAATTGGGAGAGCTCTCTAACACAACTGCTTAAGGAGGTAGGTGGCTATTCGTAGAAGGCCAATGTATAGTGAATTCACAAACCGGATGGTCCCTGAAATGGCAGCGCCCGGTTGGAGTTCAAATTAAAAAGCAAGGTAATGCGGAACCTAGCAATCCAGTAAGAGTAAGAGATGAAGGAGTGGAAAAGCTAACAATTGAGTCTGTAACGACCAGGCAACCACGAACCCATAAGTAAAGACAAGTAACCTTCTTTCGCCAAGTAATTCGTGAGGAAGAAAGAAATGAGAACTCTGACCTCTGATTTGAACAGCCGGCGACACCGAATCTCCAACACAACAACAAAACTCAAGTGGGTAAACGAATGGCTGGGGAGAAGATATCGTCGGCTCCTCTTCCGGAACAATACCCAGTCAAGAACAGATATGCAGGCGTTAAACTCGATCGTCCGCCAACCACGGTATGGAAGAACTGCCGGTTGAGGGTTGACAATGAGTGTTAACTACGAAACCTGTTGTTGCTAATATATGAGGTTTTTTCTGTTGCTAAATGACATTAGTATAAATACTATACATTTATTATACAGTATGGCATACTCATATGTGCATACCAAGTGGTACCACATGATATAGACTGATAAAAAAATCTCATTTTATAAAATGATTCAATTAAAGCGAGTCAATATGAATTACCTACCTGCCCACCCCAGATAATTGGAATGGACTCAAAATGGATAATTTCAGAATTCTCCATGCCAAATTGATCCATCCAAATTTTTTGCTGACAAACAGATCAATTTGGTCCAATTGTCTCAAAACAAGACAATTGGGTCAAATTGATTCGTTACAATTTCTCATCCAAACGAAACCATGCTTATTTGCAATTCATCAAAGTGGATGTTATTTTGAAGAGCACAATTAATCTGATTTTTATGTGCAAATTTTTTTTAATTTTGACTTAAAACGAATGAGATATAATTCGTTAAAATTTATTGGAGGGAAAGTTAATATCCTTGCATAAATTAAGTATAGGGTTATACATTATTGCTAGCTTTAACTCAGTCCGTTGGCCGACTACTTTAGATTACCGACTCGTAGAGCAAAAATGAGAGTAAGAGTGGGAGTGCATATGTTTTTGGAGAATTACATATTCAAAACGTTAATATGATCAAATTTCAATCAAATTAATATTACAATACATTTTTAAAAGTTTAAACAATTAATTCAATATATAAATCCAAACTAAAATGAAAATAACAAAGTTTAATAGCATATATGAACAATTTGTTACAAATTTTATACATAATAAAATTACATAAATTTGCTTTGTGTGTTAAAAACAATGTTGTAGAATAAAAGTACACGAATCTCCTTCCTATCGTCCCAAAATTTTCTCAACCAACACCCTATTACAACACATCCACAATCTTGTTCGTTCACAGCTTCTTCTAACTTTTCTAGCCATTAATCGTCAAAATTCCCTTCCTTCAAAATGCCTACCATTTACTTGAGGGCAAAAAACTGCCCCAATGATAAGACAAAATTAAAGGGGTATACTAAGAAGTGTTGTGAAATCTGTTTATCTCTCCTTTACTACGTTCCCAATAAACGACGCATGAATTCTAATTGGAAAGCAGAAACAATTCGGGGAAAATGTAATGATTCCGGCAAATAATTCAATTATAGACTCCTGCATTGACAATGGAAAGAATTGAAACCTTGAACACCGGTAGAGTTGTCTACACAAAAGCCCTTGGAAATATTATCATTTACATTATCAATTAGGGTGACAAGTTTCTTATCTTGAAGCTTTGGATAACAGAATTCATGATGCTATATAGAAACAACCTGCATGAGATACCAATAAATTAAGTAAACGAGAATGAAAGTAAACTGGAGAACTGTAAATGAAACCAAAAGGGAAAATTTACATAAAGGATTTTGATTCATTTTGCTGGTAAATTGGTGATTTGATGTTCGTTTACATAACTTAATCTGGTATATTTCAGAGTTTCAATTCGAAATAACAACGAGTGATCACTCGGGACTTTGTATCAATGAGGGAAAAGTTAAGGTAAGGCATCTCATCCTATGAATATATATAAACATAATTTGAGGTAAGCCAACTCAATTTCTCATGTTCGACCAACTAAAAAAAACGTACACCTTGCTTGATAGTTTGCAAAAAATGGTAAGTTTATATCCTACGAAGACCAATTACCCCTTTAGGCCAAATTCAAGAAAAGACTGGAATTTGGTAGCATAAAGGGTACCTCATTTACCGGATTTTGAGCTCCTCCATTAAATTCACACTGCAGTAGAAGACTAACAAAAGGAAACCACGGGATTTGAACGAGAAAGTCCATTGGAAGAGTACAACAATTTAACAGGCAATCAAAGTGCGCATACCGTATCACAAATGTTTTATTGTAGACTTCAGTATCATTCACCATCACCCTATAGAAACTACCAAAAAAGGAGAATAGTACAAAATGCAATAGCTACAAAACAAATTCTTCAGCGGCAAATAACAGCTCCAAACTTGAGGAGAATCAACCCATCAACCTCTAGTTTTCTCTGCGCCTATGTAATAAAGGAGAAAGAGCTCACCTCAGCATCAATGTAGAGAACTCTGAAAGTTTAACTGGTTTTCGCCGCGCTCCGGTTGGTTTTGGGAGAGACTGAGGGGTGGGTTTTTGCTGTATCCCGTGAAAGGCTTCTGATGGCAATAGCTCCGATTATGCTGAAATGGCTTCTCTTGAAATCAGAATAACAGTCTACCAACTAACAAACAGAGACCCTGAAAACAACAAAGACAGAGAGCTTCCCTTATCAAATTGATACTTGAGGTGAAATAAAGAGAAACTCAATTCATCACTACGGCATACTCAATTCATCTAAGATCTAACCATACATAGCAACACTAACAGACCTAAAAGGAGGTGTCCTCTAAAGTTTAGCATTCAACGATCAGATATGGTGTGTATGGCTGAGAAGATTGTCAATTAGGCAAACAAAAATAACTGCATAACCATTTATTCACATGGTGAAGCCATACTGTCTTGGTAGCCCTGCTCCATTCATAAAATGTACCTCGAACTTGACGTGCCGGAACCTGGAGGGTTGCCTACAAGACAGAAGCAGGATTTTCTTTTCAGCAAACAAATATTGCTTTCCTTGTAGTGATAAGCCGGTAAGCTATCTCAATACATGATTACAGGATGCTGATTTCAAGTGATAATAGGACAACTCACAAACAAAAGTTGAACAACATTGACGTGACCAGCTTTAAGCAATGAATAATAAACTAACGACAATAAACTTACAGATTTCACGACCCTGCTTGTCCAGTTATGCTGAGAACATGAATCGCGGAACTCCACTGAAAATAGTTGCAGAGGAGGTGTCAAAATGTTGCCGAGCTTCATAAGAACTATTTGGGAATGAAAACGTAATTACCTACCAAGCGTTACTTTTCCCTAATACCTTCAGTTCACTATCGCTACACTGCAAGTATATACTAACTTCAATAGCATAAAATCTTTAGATGGCAACCCTTAAGAAAAGGAAATTGCAGCAAGCTGAACTGACCTTCTAGTGCACAGCAAGTTCTTCCAAGGCCTGAGGTAGATATACGTATGCGGTCCGCACATATATCATTTAAAGTAGTCCTCCCTCAACCAGGCGCAAGGATCCACTTTAAATACCGGATGGCAAGGCACCTCCCTGCTGCAACCTGCCGCAGACCTAGTACTCGAAATTCCAAGTATAGAACAACTCAATTTTCAATTGATTATAATAGGGATATTAAGACAAAATTACTGCGACGACGAGAAGGATGCGGAGCAGAACACAGGCGGCGGTTCCAGAATACCAATGGAATGGGCATGAAAGCAGAGAGGAGCGATCTTCTCTGACGTCCAGTTCTATCAGGTGGGCCGAGAAACATAAATCAAGCCCAAACGAAACACATCCAGCAGGCAGTCTTCTTCCCCGTTCTCACCAAGTCCGACGGAGTCATTTTACAATGCTCAAATCATACATCTTCAGCGCCTTCTTGCATATGAACTTCACAAATGCAACACCCTTAGCCAACCTGCACAAAGCCAATTTGTTCTAAGAATAAAGTAGCAAACATTTTAATAGAAAAAACTAATCAAGGAGTTTCTAAGTTGAAACATATGAATCAAGGGCCTTTACTTTTACTTGCAGCTGGGGCTGGAGCTGGATTTCTTAATCATCAAATTAGTATTGTCACTTCCACTTACATAAACTTATTAGCATTGAGATATATGGAAGTAGACATAGATACAAAAGAATAATATATATAAATATGTATCTGCATCTCTACACAGGTAACCAATTAAGTAAATAAATGCACCAAATAAGCAACTTCTGGCTAAGAATATCAAACAAAATTTCCATGAAAGGCAGTACAATTTCAGCACGGCATGTGTCTCCTCCATCCAGGATCCCCTAGTAATCATGCTCTAATGAAACCTACATCTACACTCCACCATCCGGTAACAGTTCTTCTATTTCACTGTCTAGCCAGCCCACGCTGATTACAATTTGTCTCCCTGATTACAACATTTTAATAGCCAATCAAGGGCCTTTACTTTTAACTGTTTCGTCTGAATCAAGGAGTTTCGACGTGCAAAAATGATGTAACATAATCAAACCATTGGTCTCTAGACATTCCAATCCACCATCATGTATCAGAGAGTATCAGAACAAAGCTTTCTACCAAACAGAGAACTCACCCTACAGTCAGGCTCTCTAGCTCGCTCAGGAAGTTCCTCTCTTAACTGCAAAGCCTGGAGAAAGATTGAGTCACAACATCATCAGAACTTTATACTGAGGAAATCTCAGAATCATATGTATTACCAAAAGAACATCACAAAATGATCAAAAGTACGAACCTTTATGACCTGAGCAGCATACTGAGGGTGGTTACAGAGGCAATTACTGCCTAGCCACAAACCCCAGTCCACAAACTCCGACTTGCTCCTGATTTTTATCATGAATCTTTAGACTTCTAATCGCGTCTGATATCCACACATAAACACACAAGAAAATTTTCAGTCTCTAGATCATCTTCAGAACAAAGACGATTCTTCGAACATAGAATACAAACAAACATACCAATCCCAAATGGCATTGCAACAGTGAATAAACAACACCAGCACCAAACAACCAAACACAAAACGAACAAACGAAACCCCTCCAAAATAAGAAACATATAGGACGACATGAAATATTCAATGCTTGAAAAGTTACCTGACTGAAGCGAGTCACGGGATGTTGCTAGTCCCTCATCTCTTACTTCCGGCTCAAGTGCACGAACTTCCTCTGATCTTTGGTTAGACAACCCAATAACATGATAATCCCACATCAACTGCAAATATGTAAGAGCAGTAAGCTTCTTTCACCGCCTTGTTCCAGCAACTCCCGGCCACCCATTTCTCCTGCAACAACCCACAAGCAGAGTTTGTCAGAATGCTTTACCGAAGTGTGCTTCTTTTCAGCAAGTTGAGGGTTAGTAGAAAGGATGAAGAAAGTCGCTGTCCAGGCGAGTCTGAAAGTATGCTACATTATTTTCATCTTATTCATACTCCTTCAATGGGATTTTTGCTGCCTGAAAGGAAACATTCATTTCAGCATACAGCAAGAGCTAAGTACATCCTGTAGAAGTACAGACCAAATCTGTCATACCTTCAAATAATGCAGAAATTGAAGCCCTTCTGAAATCAGGAACAATAAGGCATTTCCTTCCGCACCTTCTCCACGTGCTGTTCACCCCACCCTATTTATGTACTCCTAAAAAACAGAATTTCGATCTAAATTGAAGATCATCATTACAATTAACCATTGTGAAGTGAAGAAAGCAAAGCACCTCGGGATCACCAGGAGTATCATACTGCACAATCCGATCCTGAATGGGAGCGGAGGAAGGATTGGGAGTAGCCATCAACTGGTAACCTAATTCATGGCATTCCAGAACCTACAACCCATCAGCGGCGGTGGTATGCAATTATTCCCCTGATCGGTGCACCGTAGAGTAGAGATAGGTAGACCGATAGATAGTGAGGGATCGTTGAAGAGGAAAACACAGCGGACTCAGAGTGGAAGAATCAGTGGCGGTGGGTGGTTCGCATTCGTGGATCATCACATGTAAGCCACTGATTGCATAAACTGTGGGCCTGACACAAAAGAAAAACTTCATTTTAAAATGTATAAGATAGAGATCATACAGTAGGGAAAACAAAAATAACATGTAGTTTTTATAACATGAGTAGGAAGACAATGCATACATCATCAAGATAGCATGGCAGGTGAAGGTACCTCCATGACCAGATGTTCGAACATGCTTATCATTGACAAACTCCCCCAGAATAGAAATGCCAACTTGGCAAGTAACTCTGATATAATACGTCTGTGCTATCAACGTCAAATTTGACTCCTATGCTCCCAACTTTGCCCGGACAAAAACATAAATATATATAAGATGTACATAAACTCCATGCTCCCAACTTTTAGTCCTCAAACAACCACTCAATAAACCAAAAAGGAAGATTAGTTTTAGAGTCATGAATTTAAACATGAAATCCATATTTTGTTGTTGAATCAAACCCGGAAAACCCAGGCCTCGATTCATCATAGAAAAACGTGAGTGAGCAGGTAACCAAAGAAGAGGCATTTTTCCGAGTAAGTAACAACCGAGAATCGACTCTTCACCAACACTACACACAAAAGCAACAACAACAAAAAAGCTAGCTTTTTTTTTCTTCTTATGCTTCCTCTCCTGATCAAACCCCAGATAAGAAAATTTGAATTGTGTGATTCCTCGACTCACAACCCAGAAAGAGAGAAAGAAAGAGATCCAAGGATGCGATTAGGAGGCATTTAGAGGGGTGAAATTGATGATGAGAAGGGAAATAAGAAACGGAAGCCTTGTGAAATCAATGTGAAAACGGGAAAGGGGAGAATCATCATTCTACTGGATACCTAATTGCACCGATAACTGAAACTTACAAAACTTCATCTATACCAAAGGTCACACTCCTCTTCCCATTGCGTTTAACATGGCCGAAGCTTGCTCATTCTTTTATACCAACAATTTCAGCATTCAGCAAGAACTCACCCACCAAGGTACGCCAAGAATAGTTTACCTGGAAGGTGACGATTCGACGCCTACGGAGACATAACACGAATGAAGCCACTGGCTCGATTCAGCGATTGATGAGAGAAGCGGTCTGTTTTCCGTTCCGTTCTCGGAAGGACTTGAAGCTTCATTTGACACATAAATCGCCGACCCTCCCTCCACTGTCGTCAACAATCCGACCTTGTCAACTCCCAATCTTCTCGTCGTTTCAACCTCCTCATTCCTCCATATAGCGGAAGTGAATTTTCCGCGTCGCAATTCACAGCCCAATCTCCCTTTACAGTCGTGATAGTTGTGTTGATCCACAACTGCATAGAACGATTCTTAACCCAGCAACAGTTTAGCGCCGACTGAAAGCGCACGGTTGTAGATGGGAAGGCGAGTCCTCTTGAAGACGCCCTTCGCGACTACGCCGTTTCACCCGCGATTCAGAAGGTAAACCCTCCCCCCATACTAACGCAACGCAGATTGACCCACCAAGGATTCCCGGTTCGTCGACGGGAGGGAGGAGTTCGATCGTGCAGAGCTTCGTTGGCAACCGAGCAAAACACTACGCAAGAGATGGAAGGAGGGCTACATCAGCAGTTTTCTCTTTTGGGTCCGAAGATCCAAAATTAGGCCCAAACACCAAACCCACGCGGCCAGCTCGGAATAAGGTAACATCGAAATTATTTTTTCATTTTTCGAAATTCTTATAGCTTTTCATCAATGATGAACATTGTAAGCTTAATCTATAAAATTTATGAAGCAGATTCATAGGCTCTTTTTGCAGGGATTCAAAAACGCTGGCTCCTGAGAGCTTCGCGGAAGGGCAAATTAGCCATCTTACGGTTCTTCACATTTAATTGAAGTGCTACGTTTTGGGGTAATAGCTTTCCGTTTTTGGTTCCTGTTAATTTGTGGGCTTTGGAGTCCAACGCACCATTAACATATTTGGGCTGCAATTGGGCTAATTGCACCGCAGGTAGAGTCCAAATTCCTGCCGCAATTCCGTTCTCTCTTCTCTACGTAGAATTGAAAAAGGTTAAACGGAGAAGACGGTTGGTGATGGCGGAGTTAATGGTGGAGGCGGCCCTGACTAGCTTCCACCATGCCGCCAATTTCGGAGTCCGGGACCCACGAGAATCGTGTGATCGGGTGTTGGGGTGGAGATGGTATTGATCCCGGCGGCGGATTGGAGAGGAAGAGTTGTCCCGCCGCCGAATCCGCATTAATCGTCGACGGAATTATCTGGTGGTGGAAATCGGTCTGATTATCGTGATCATGGTGGTGGTCTAGCAAGTGGACAGAGGTGGGGACGACGGGCGGTCCGCCGGTGGGAGAGAAATTGAACATCTCGAATAACATTCTCGTCGTTTCGCACACCTGCTGCTGCGGTTGTTGAAGGTGGCGGTGATGATGAAAACCGCCATCCGCCGTGGCGGATTCTTCCTCATCTAGCGACGGCGGAGGAGGAGGAGGAGGAGGATATTCAGCTTGAACTCTAAGCTTATCCCTCCTCATCATCTGCTGCGCTATATGTTGCTGTTGTTGCTGAACTCTGTCGAACCCGTTGGAAGCGGAGAAAGAGAAAAAACCTCCTCCTCCTCCATCTCCGTCGGCGACCTGATCATGGTGGTAATCCAGCTGAGACATAGTAGAATCGTCACAACGACGAAACGTCGACGACGGATCAGGAGGAGAATTCTTTCCCTTTCTCTCTTTCTTTTGTGTGCTTATGAATCTCTTCGATGGAGGGATAGAGAAGGTGATATTGATGTTGGTGTAGCCAGGCCAATTTTTTTTTTTTTTGGGTTAAAAAAATGGATATAATGAGACACTAAATTACAAGGGGAGGAGGTGAGAATCAGTGATCATTTGTAAATAATTAATTATGATGATGATTTTTCTTCAATCATCAATCGGCCAACTAAACACTATGAAAAATATATATATATACTGACTTGAGCCTCAAATGGGTCAACAACGGCTGTAGGCAAATTGAAGTTTGTGGGTTTGATTCACTCATATAGTTAACCATTGATCTTGGATATAAGTTTCATATTAGGTGCAAAACTTATGCTTTTCATTTATCTTTTATTATTATTTCTTTTGGTTCCTAAAGGAATTTCATATTATATTTTAAACTTTACTTCGGTCTTTATTATCACAAATTTGGTTGATGAAGTTCACCATACACAATCAACATTTAACTCGAGCATTTTAATCACTCAACCAATGAGTCACGAGTTGAATTAAAGTAACCGCAAATCCACACACTTAAGATACCGTTGATGATGAATACACGAAGGAATCCCCGTCTATGCGACTCATATAGAACGCAACACATGTATGGAATCCCCGTCTACCAACTACAACGATGGCGGCGGGCACCTCCACCTCCAGATCACATCCCATCTCCGACGATTCTCCCGACATGGGGTTCCCGTCTCCCAACTACAACCATGGCGGCGGCCAAAGGGTCATTTCATTGTTAAAAACTTAGAATACAAGGAAGTTTTCCTTGGGCCGCAATTAGACTTCGTAGATCTAAGTGCTTATAGTGCTAGCTTGTGTGGGAATTTCAACCATTGTAAAAAGGGAAGCAACTTTATGGGTTCGTTGTGTTAGAGAGAGAGGGGTGGGGGGATATGATTTGAGATCAAGCTAACTCATGGGGAGTTCTCTCTCAATCGCAATAGGTTTTGGAGTAAAATGTCAAAACTAAGGAAAAGTTTGTGGGGAGATAGAGTGTGCCGAGAAACAAACGAGATCGACGCAGGAAAAGAGAGGAAGGATGACACAGAAGCGACAACGAATCACCTATCCAGATCTACTCACAAGCCCATATTTGTTTTCATTGGTCGACTTTTCTTCTGGTTACACCGGAGATCAGAGATCGACGCAGCGAAAGGGCAAGAAGAGCGACGTAGGAGGAAGAAGATGGCGTCTCTTCTAGCTCGGGTAGGGACGTAGGGTATAGGGTATGGAAATTTGAAGAAAGTAAGTTATTTTTTAATGAATGTGAAGATGAGGTGGAAAATATAAAAGATTTTTTTTTCTAAATTTTTAATATTTTTTAATTACCACGTCATATATTTAACGGTCAACTAGAAGAGTTGACTGCCACATAAGCTAAAGTTAACAGAGACAAATGGAGAGTGATCAAACTTGAGCTATTAAACTAATCTTAGTGACCACGAATGAAATTAAATATTTTTAGTGATCAAACGTGAACGTTTTTAGTTAACTCAGTGATTAACCTTGCAATTTACCCTATTTGACGTCAATTAGGGTTACAAATGATCCTATTACTAAACTCTAACAGAGACCAATCTTTTTCTTCCCCCCTGACGGTTCATTATGTATGATTTAAGGGAAGCAACTCTAATCTTGAATTATGTGCATGTTTTTCTTTCTTTCTTTGAACAATTGTATTTCTTTCTCCAATTTAATGTCTTATTTTTGTATTATATTGTAATTTTGTAAGCATGTTATATGTGGATATTTTTTGTCTAAACTTTCTCGGGCAAGGGCCGAGCCCGGTGCTAGTTGTTATAAGTTATAACCAAAGTTGTCAAATCGGTTTAAGTTGTTGAGCTGGTCAAGCAAGTAGTTTGAAGTTTAATGGTTTCATTGAGGTCCAGCCTGTTTGAGCCGATTTACACCTTTTCTAAATATATTTAAATATAAGATAGAAATTTAGTGACTAAAGTGAAATGGAATGTAATAACTTATATCTATTAAAAACTCAAATTCCATAAGAAAACATATTTATTTCGAATATCCACCCACCATCCTCTTACCTCTCCAACCCCCCCCCCTAACTCTCTCTCTTCTTCTCTCTCTCTAACGATCAGACACTTGATTTTGTAGAGCCCGTTTTGGAACACGAATTTGGTCGGACCTAGTCCAACTAGCCGCCCGGTAGAGGTGTAACAACCTTAGTTATAACACTTGTGAATAACCATTCATAACTTGTCTATCTAATGATGTAGTCACTTAGTTGCCTATGGCTGAAAAGAAAATTACATAACAAAAAAGGAGTTTGTTTGAAAAAGCGGAGCATAAATAGGAAACTCGTGATCATAACCTTTATTCAATATTTATTTCTTATACTTGAGAAACAATAGAGATTTTTCCAGAGATAGAACATTTTAAAAAAAATTACAAAAATAGCACCCACCCGAAAATATTTACAAAAATAGCACCCTTTTTTATGGAACGCACCTCCAAGGTGCGTTTTATATGTAAACCGCACCTGGAGGGTGCGGTTTATTATCCTGGGCCAAAACCGCATCTTGGCCATGCGGTTTCAGGTCTGACCTACATAAACCGCATGGCCAAGGTGCGGTTTGGCCTGACCTAGCAAAACCGCACCTTGGAGATGCGGTTTGCTTCTCCAAAACAAAACTGCATCCCCAAGGTGCGGTTTTGCCACACAAAACAAACCTTACCCCCCAGCGCGGTTTGTGTGTCAATTATTTTCTGACACCCAACATATAGCCATGCAGAATAACAGACGTGGGGCTGCATGGCAGACGAAAACCGCATCTCTAAGGTGTGGTTTTCACCAGTGATTTTGCCTATAAAAGACTGCACGGAAAACCTCTTCTCTTCACACCTCTCCTTCTCCCTTTTCAATTTTCTGTTCTAGCTCTATATTTCTTTAGTGTTTTTGCGATTATCGTTAACTCGTAAGTTTATTTTGTATTACTTTTTATTATTATTTGTGATTTGTGATTTTTATGATATTAACTGAACTACGATTTTTTTGCAGATGGCATTCCAAAAGTTCACGCTTGGCTTACAGTGGAATGGTTACACGGAAGAGACCGGAAAGGGGGTCACCTACGTCGGTGGCAATTTCAGAAAATAAAGGTCGCTACCAGACCGCTGCTTGAAGACCTCCATCAAATGTGCACTAACGTTACTTGCATGGATGGCACGAGAAGAGTTGATCGTATGGTGTACCGATATCCAAACAGAGAAAGTGGGTCATTGTGGCATGAGGAATATCTCATAACCACTCAGGATGAAGTAGATTCCATGCTCGAATTCTTGAGGTCCAACAATCTTTCCAAAGCCGAGATGTCCGTTTACACCGAGGCAGCCGTTGGCGTTGGAGGTCATTCTGGACACGGTCAAACATTTGGTATCCATGGTGGAGGTGAATTATATGGCGATCATCCCTACCAAAGTTATCATGATCCTCATTCCTATTTTCAGTACCAAGAGCAAGATGAAGGTCATCATCAATCTTTTTTGTCATATGAAGAAGAAGTTCAACCGGACCTCCCCAACCAACCTTGTGTAACACTATTCTACAATTATCTCTTTATTGCCATTACTCTAAGATTCTGTAAGGTAATTATTTTTTACATAACAATTTGATTTCATTATTTGAATTACACTTTCTGTAGGGCAAATTGTTTTTTACATAAAAAATTAATCAAATTTGATACTGTTTTTAACATGACTCATTATTAAACCACACATTACGAAAGATTTGTGTAACACGATTCTATAAAATTTATATAATATAGCTCCCAAATCTACTATAAACTCTTTATTATTCGCGTTACAGTTTAATCAAATGCAATATTTTTATTAACTTTATCTTATAATTAGACAGGGTCGTCCCATGATATTTGGAGGCCCTATTGGAAAATTTAAAATGTGGCCCTCATTTTTTCCCCATAAATTTATCAAAATTAAAAATTAGTAAATAATTGTAAAAAAATACTTAAGTTCAGAAAAAGATTACATCAGGATTAAACGATCTCGTTTCCAGTTTGACCAAGAAACCAAGACCGAATTCCCAGCCCTAGTAGGGAGGAAAGTAAATATGGAAGGAAGAGAAAATGGATATAACGCAAAAATTGAATGGAGAAATGAAAATAGTCTAAATTGATCGAGAGGTGGGTGCAGGGTTGTCTATAAGATCGTGGAGGCCCTATTTCAAAATCTAGACGTGGTCCAAATCGACCTTTAACTATAATAAAACTAAAATGATTATAATAACATTATTCAAAATGTAATATCTTTCTATATTGTTTAAATTAAAATTATCTATTATTTTTCAGATTTTCGTATTCTCCATGAGATCCTTTTCAATTGTTTTTATAGCTAAAATTATCTATTAAACACATCATCATACTCATAATCAATCAATCATACACTAAAAATACAACCTACAATATACGATCGGTAACTAACGAATCTAAGTAGAGGCCCCTAATATTCTGAGGCCCTGTGCCGGAGGGCGGGCCAGCACACCCTCTTGGCCGGCCCTGTAATTAGATCACCGAAAGATATGTGTAACACTACACTATGAGTGTTACGTAGCTGCTGATACAATGTATAAAGCTTATGGACGGATAGTTATTTTTTATATATCACTTAAAAAAACTCATAATGAATGTCTTTTGTAATGATTAAGACATATAATTAGTTTATTATCGCCTCCAAAACACATATAACAAACTAGTTTTCATTTATAGTTCAGCACTTCGATTTGAATTCATCAACGATGCGAGTTGTTTGATTGCTAAGAAAATGATTAAGTTGTATAACTCGCTTTGTAGCCGCTATGATTTGTTTAAACTCAGTAATCTCCATTAGAAACTAGATTTTTATTTTGAATATGAGGTTTGGTTAATTTATTAATTGTTATCTTAGCTTGTCATCACTCTCCATTGGTAGCATAACGCTTCCTATCAATTTTAGTCTTTGATATTGAACTCTCTACGATAACTATCCATTCTCTAATTGAATCACTTTTACTTCCATTGGCTGGATGTTTTACGGGAGGGATTGGCGACGAATCACGTCCCTTTTAATTTGTTTGGCCACATCGACCGTCTTCTGACCCCTTCCATACTCTCTCTGTTTGGTACATGTATGGTAACACTATTCTTACTATCATGTATACAATCATTCTATATTATGGTATATTCATACCACGCAATATAATTTTATGTACATACTAAGTGGTACCACATGGTATAAACTGTTAATAAAAGTATCAATTTTTTTTAAAAACACAATTAATCTAATTTTTTGCAATTTTTTTAATTTCGACTTAAAACAAATAAGATAGCTCATTAAAGTTTAGGTTATTCATAACCATACACTTATAAATTATGCACTAGATCTGCTCCCAAAATAGTTGCAGGGTTTTGCTCAACAACTGTCTGATTGCTCTTAATGGCCGTGGCAAGACGAGCAATTGCTTCAAGACCAACTCTAGCATTCTCTTCCATTTCCACTTTCGAGTGTTGTAGGAAAAACGTGTAGATCAAATATAAAGTTGTGCTTGATTGTTTCCTATTGGCAAAAGTGAGTAGTAAGGGGTAATTATCCAGTTGGGGAAGTCCGCCGTATAACCTAGATGATTCAAGTGAAAGAGTTATAAATACTGAAATACATATTATGTGTAGTGGCCGAAGTCTGTAAGTATGCGAGAGTGATTAGTAGGATGGCAATTTTGCCCATATCCATAGTATTTTACTATCCAACTCAATTGGATTGGGTATGGATTCCAAATAAAAAGTAGATGAGTAGAGTTAGATGGATTTGTATCCATACCCATTTACTTGGGTTGGGTTGGGTTTTTAACACATGGATTTGGGTTTGCACCCATGTCCAAAGGCAAATTACAGTTTGGTACCTAAACTTAATAGATATGCATATTTAGTACCTAAGTTTAATTTTTTTGCATATAAGTCCTCAAAATATCGATGGAAAATTATGTTTTGGTACCTAAATTTTTTTGGTCTTACATTTTGGTACCTAAACTTTTCAAGTTTTACAAATAGGACCAATTTTTGTGTGTAGTTAAAACACCCTCAAGTAAATGGATATCCATATCCAACCCATACCCATTTACATAATGAAAGCAATATCCATACCTAACCCAAACCCATCTACAAACCCCCAAACCCATATACACTTCATCCAAACCCTACCCATACTAAATGGATCTATTTGGATTTAGGTAAAATTACCCATGAGTGGGTAATTGCCATCCCTACAATAGGCGATTTTAGCAGTAGGAAACAGTTAAATCACAATTTTGGTCTAAAATATTATATTACTCACTTTTTCGGTATAACCTCTGGTACGGTTTCCTGAACCTTTATTTTTTTGGTTTTGTCGCGTTCACAAGAACGAGGATTCCACGTAAAAGATTCTATTTTTTTTCATCGGGTTTGGATAGAGATCAAAGGTCTCTTGAGCAACCGGTATTATTGTGTTCTTAGTTTAATAATTGTTTTTATCATGGTATCAGAACATCATTGACCACGAGCTGGTATGTCTCATATAAACTATACTTGAGTTTTGACGGTGGTGAATGACTAATCAAGCCTCATGTGAAAATCAAACAACCAAAAATTCTCCTCCTGTTTAATTCTTCTTGTCATGACCACAGAGACGTAAACCACAAACACATGAATGAGAATAGGTGCTTTGTGCCTCTTCCCAAAGGGATCGAAGCTGGGTGTAGAAAGCTTTTCTTGCGGGAGGCGGCTGATAATTCGTTGCACTTCATAAATGCGGGGCACACTCCCCTGAGCGAACCACTCACGAAGATGCTCTTAATATGTTTTTTTAACTTCCTAAATATAATTTATCAAAAAAGTAATAAATAATTATTTTTTGCATACCCACTTTGTCCTTAAAAACCATAATGACTACTACTTCATAGTTAGTGGCGGAGCTAGAAAATTGGTCAAAGGGGTGTATTTATCATATCATAAAAAAAATCACATATGTAATAGAAAAGTCAACTCTAAATGAAACAAAAAGTCAACAACGTAATACTCTAAATTCATACAATTACATAAAAATAGTTTCGCGTACACCGGTTACAACGTCAAACAAATAAGTTCGTTACATACAAGTCAAGACTTCCATTCATCAAATATTACAAATTAAAACTCAGAAGTACATTGGAATTGAGGTTGTGAAACAAACAAGTGAACTTCAATTGGTACTTCTTCACTTTCATCTTTGTTTAAACAAAAGACAAAGAGATTCCTCTACTGTAGAGCTACAGAAGAAATGAGCAAGTTTAAACAAAAGACAACGGTTTATTGCTATAAATAAAGACGAAAGTGCGTTGCATAACAAAACTCACTCAATTAAAATGGTAAGGAATTCTCCTTTCAACTGAATGAACACTGGTTCGAATTTGTATATACGCCTACTGGGAGAATTTTTTTCCAAACCCATGTAACCCCTCCTCTCCAAGTGGCTCCGCCACTGTTCATAGTTATCATCATAATCGCTCCGCTATTTAGGAAACTCCTACTAGGCCGGTCAATCAATTCTAGAGGCCCTATTTCAAGGAGAAAATGAGGCCCAAAATTTTATATTATAAAATACAAATTATTACATTATCTGAGAAAAAACACAAAATTATTGAAAAAAAAACAAAAAATACAACAATAATACCTAAAAAGTAGTATGCTTCTTGCATTGTTTGGAATAAAGACGAATTCATTCATTTGTGTGGCCCATATCTATAAAATATATAAAGACTTTTCCAATAACCACCTTCACCGTTTCAAAAAACCAGCCCTTCTACGCATCCACAACAGCACCCTTTCCACCAATCAGATTTTTTTTTAACTTCCCTTTCCATCAATCAGATGTTTTCGTAACTTCTTTTTTTCTTTTCATTATAATTTTTATTTTTAGTTATTATGTACTCCAATTAGATTGTACCACTACACACTCTCTCTCTCTCTCTCTCTCTTATTTTTCAATCACCATACTATTCTTATTCGATCCATATTTTTCCACTTCAACTCCGAATTTAAATATTGTTGCGCAAAAAAATCAGATTTTATGTGATCTACTCAATGATACCCATTTTGATATAAGTTGAATTTTTTTCCTTTCAAAACATTATCACAATCATATATTCACAAGTCACTCTCATATTCGATAGTTGCTAAACTATATCAATATAATTCGATTCTACCGTCATAAAGTATATACTACCATAGATCACAAAACAAATTTCTTATTCTAATGAGTTACTAAATTATATCAATGTTTAATTTTGTACTATCATAATAATAATGTACAACAATTTCATGGGTGTTAAAATATTGTCGTGTGGTACAAACTAAATTACCTTAAAGAAAAATCACTTCCGACCAACTGATCAAGCTCAAAAGTACACATGATTCGGGATGAGAGACGACAATGATAACCTGAACAAAATAGACAATGTAGGAGAAAAAATATTCCATAAAACATATTTCAAACAAAATTTACCCGGCCAACGGACCGGGTACAAAGCTAGTAAATAAAGAGAGTTTTATTTTATGAGAGGGCTATAATAGCCCAAAAAAATATAACTAATATTTAGGTTTTGAAATTTGATGGAGGACCTGAAATTGCGAGGCCTATGCCTGACTCCTACGTAGAAGCACTAATAATTATAAATTTATAACTAGCATCTTGCCCTACCTGTTGGTCGGGTTTGATTATTCGATTAGGCATCAATTTGATCCACTGATTCTTTTTCAATCTTTCATTATCTAAAAAGAATAGAAATTGAAACCTTAATCGTATTGTTGAATAAGTATTTCATTTGCATTAGCGGTAGGCACTGAAAGCCTAAAATCCTCAAAATGCAAGCAACAAATATAAATACAAATCACTCAAAGTCCAACAACGTAAATAAAATGTGTCTTCCGAATCAAACATGAAAAGGGCTCAAGATAGGGTGCATAATCATGGATGGAGAATGAAAAGTCATTTTTATTTTACCTAACTTTCTTAATTGACTCATATTTTTTTTCGTTTTAACTCGGATTTTAATTTTTTTTGCACAGGTGCAACGAGTTCATCGTGCTCTACAAAATGAGATCAATTTTCTATATTTTTTTAGAACAAAAAATTATGGACTCTCGGTACCAACTTCATACCATATGGTATTTTCTTCGTTTTTAATTCGTTTTTGAAAACGTTTGCACAGAAGGGACGAGTTAATCATGATCTATTGGATCTACAAATTTTTGGGTCAACAAATTACAGGACCAAAAAATACCACACAATACCATACAAGACCACCCTGGTACGGGGTGGTATCTTATGGTACACAATGTTAAAAGTCATAAATGACAATTAATATATTTTTACTATCATGTATTCAACCATCCTACAGTCTTGGTTTGTTCATACCACCATGATACGCTTTTCAAACCATAGGTATGCTCTTATTTCAATACCAGTCAATACCATATGGTATAGACTGGTAAAAAATGGCTCAATTTTTTTTTGTTCGAGAAATATATCAAATTGGATATCATTTTGAAGAGCACGATTAATCTGATCTAAGTGTGTAAAAAAATTAAATTTTGACTTAAAACGAGTGAGAAATCTTCCGTCAAAGATTAAGGAAAGGAAAATTAAAGACTTTCCAGGAAAGAGATGGGTACTGATGTCATGCTGATGTGGACGGGTTACTCATGATTACCCACATAAGATTACTGACATGATCCGTTCCCTGAAAGGTATGACTACGAAATAAGGGCGTAGTATCCATTTTGTCTCTTTTTAAAGAGGCCAGTAGAGTGTCATTAAGAATAACATTACCATTGTTGTTAAAAAAAAGTTAGCTTTACCATTGCTCAATTCCTCATGCCAACTAGGGGTGTCAGTTCGGGTCGGGTTCGGTTACCCAAACCGAAACCCGAAAAAATCCGAAAACTCGAAACCGAAAAATCACTAAAACCGAATCCGAACCCGATAAGGACTTGTGGGTTCTAGTTACCCGAAACCCGAAAATTCCTTAACGGATTCGGGTTTGGTTAAAGTAAAATCGAAACTTGAAAACCCGAACGCCTTAAAATACGGGTGAGTTCTATTCATTGGAGTTTTTAGCCGGAACCCGAAAAACCGATAAGCAAAACCGAACCCGAAACCTAAAAACCCGAAACCCGAAACGAACCCGAACCCGAAAAAACCAGAAATGTATATAATCGGGTCGGTTTCGGGTAAACCCGAAAAACCGAACCCGAATGTACACCATTGCCAACACGATATATGGCTCTGTTTCTTTCATGTTTAGAAAAAATTATGAATAAATCCAGCTATCTGCCAGATGGAGCTCATGCGGATAGCAACGCCAACTCGTAAAGGAATAATGAGAACTAGGGCTGGGAATCCGGTCGCGGTTTTCCGGTCATACCGGAAACCGCCCAGTTTAAACCGCCTCGGTTGTAACCGGAAACCGGATTCTCACAAACCCAATCCAGTTTGCGGTCTGAGGTTAAGGCTAAATAACCGCCCCGGTCCAGGTCAAAATTTACCCGGTTTTAACCGGAAACCGGGAAACAGAAATATACCCAGCCCATACCCAAACCCCAGCCCAACCCGACGGCAGCCCACACCTCAGCCCAAAGCCCAACCCAGCCCAAGCCCAAGCCCGAGAGTTGTAAGTTTGTAACCCACCCCAAACCCTAATTTCAGCGGCTGCCACTTACCTCTCCATCAACCCATCTCTCTGCCTCTCGATCTCTCACCCATCTCTCCGCTCTCTCTCACCGGCTATGCGACAACGACGACCTGGACGCTCCAGTCGTCGGCTCTCACACCACAAGAAGAAGAAGAAGAAGAAGAAGAAGAAGAAGAAGAAGAGGAAGTCGAGAGGAGAAGAACTCGATCAAGCCACAACCGTCGATGAATCTTGATTCTCATCTCCAGCTCTTCTTCGTCGCGTTCTGCATGCACCAAAATCCTTTCAATCACACGCCACCGATCTTTCTTCTTCCTTCTATACTGCTTCCTCGTTTTCGTTCCCTCGGGACTCTGTTGGGCATTGTCGGAGGCGGCAAATCCGTGGCAAGATTCAGGGACGGGAAGACGCCGCTCTGTTGGCGGAGGCACCGTCTGAAGATTCATCGCGGAGGCGAGGTCAACGAGGATGGCGAAGTATGAAGAAAGTTCAAGATTGTTTGGAGGAAGAAAGAGAAGAAAAGTAAAGGAGGGAGGAGAGGAATTTGGTCGGGTTTCTCTGGGGGATTGGGAGAAGGAAGTGGGAATTTGGGGATGGTTGTGTTTTGCGAGAGAGAGAAGTCTCGTCGTCCAAAGAGCAGAGGTTGCGGTTGTTTAATTTTTAATTTTATTTTTGGTTCAACTTTCTTTTAACGACGGCGTTTTGGAAAGGGAACAAGGGTAAACGGTTTTTGTGTTGAAACCGGATCGGACCGTATTGCATCCAGTCCGGTTGGTCAAAACCGGGTACCAATCCAATCCCGTCCTCGGTCGTGCTGTTGTCCAATATGGTTGTAAAAAACTGGGTCAATCCGGTCCGGTTTAAACCGAACCGGACTGTTTCCTAGCCCTAATGAGAACAGAGGTTTATAATTGTGAAGAAGAATTGACCTTTAGAACTGAAACATCATGGGTCTTTGACTCTTTGGGAAATTGAAAGGGTCCGGGGAGTGGAGAGCGGGAGCTAAAATGAAAGGAACAACAATGGTCCACTTTCTTAATTAATTGATCATTTCTATTTACCAGGTTTATCTTCTCCGTCTTTCTTTGTGCATGCAATTAAATAAATCTTATTGGAGTTGGAAAAGCTAGGGTAAAAGCAATGGAAATACATAAGTTAAGGGCGGGGCGGTGCGGGTAGTAGAGTCACTCATATTGGCTTTGTTCTTTTCATGGGTCGGGGGCACGATTCGTCTTGTTCAGCGGCAAGTCAGATAAATTTACATCAATACAGGTTAAATTGAATAAAATTTAGGGGATCAGATCTGTTTTGCAATCCCTAAGAATCACTATTGATTATTAGTAGGGTGATGTAGTTTTCGTCTTTAAGGTTGCAGCAGAGGACGGAGTCAGGATTTCAAATTAGGAGGGGCCGATGAATTTTTTTTCCAACACATACATAGTGATGAAAAAATGCATATAAATATAACATCCAAAATTATTACCAATTTTTTTATATAAAATCATTAAAAATGTGTCAAAACTATAAAAATCATGACATATTTCAAAATAAAATAGCAAAGATTCGACTATTTGAAATTATGACATGTTTAATTTCAAATAAATTCACATGCAGAGAGACTTGGCAAGAAAATAAAAAAAAAATATAAAGGAGACTTGCCTAGAAAAATAGGGAAAAGGGTGTATGAACTAGGGTTGGCAACGGGGCGGATCGGGGACGGATTCGTACCATCCGTTCCCCGTCCGTGAACAGTGTCGGGTTTCCCCGACCCCGTCCCCGGCCATTCAACGGGGCCAAATTTGATACCGTCACTGTGAAGCAACGGATTCGGGGAATCCAAGGGTCCCCGTTACCCGCTACAAACCCTAAATAATTGACATATTGAAACAATAAAATAACTGGAAAAACATAATTCAGTTCAAATTCAAAGTTGAGCAGTGCTCAAAAGCAGCTTAACATAAAGCCTATAAGGCTGCAACCCACCCACCACCCAGAACTCTGAATTTTCAAGAGTTCCTCAATTGTTCATGAGTTCATCAACTGTCTAATAGTCATAAGTAGCAAAAAAAAACAAGTAAAGCACTCTCAAACTCAAACTCTCAAAGGCAGTAAGCCACACACCAATCCATTGTTCAAATTTGGAACAAATAAAGCACACTCAAACTCTCAAAGGCAGTAAGCCAAACTCTCAAAGGCACCAGCAAGGCAGCAACTAGATTTGAAGAACAGAAGCAGTCAAGCAGCACATGACAAATTGACATTCATTCCCTGCAAGAAAACAAAAATATGAAGGAACAGATACAAGCTTACAATAAAGGAGAAAAGTCACCAACTATGTTACGAGTATCACCACCAAGGTTTTTTCGACAGTACTTGCACTTAGCTTTAATAACCCCATTAACCTTAACCCTAATGTAATGAGGCCATACATCAGAAGTCAATTTGCATTCTTCAACAAGCACTTCAGAATTTTCATTAGCCAAGTTACCGTTACCATTACCAACTTGTTCAGGTTGGTTGTTTTGATCAACAGGGGCAGGTTGTGGAGGAACAGGAGCATTGACAACATTTTCAGGTGCACTTTCCATCTGACATTGAGATAAACGAGTATAAACATCAAAGGATTGCTTGGTTACTTTTTAGGCTTTAGCTATAAGATTTCTAGGTTCAAATTTATAGTCTTTTAGATTCAATTGTAACATGCAGATGAGACACTTATACTAAACAAGACATGATTCATGAGCAGACCCAACACCCAAGCAATCAACAGAAACTCGAGTCCCTAATTCCTAATACATGCAAACCAAATTAAGTAAAATGTCCTTAATTCTTTAACTAACCTCGAATCTGGACAGAGGGGGTCTATTGTCCAGAGTTGTGGATGGTGAACTGATGCCTGATACAAAACTGCAAAAACTCAAACAAAAGTACAAACATTACAATCCAATGAGTCAAAGTCAATACAACAAACTACTAATTACTAAACACTAACTGAGTAACCGACTAAGGAAATTTGATTAGGAATTACCTCGAGTATCAGAGCATGCATGCAGTCCCAGGTGCAGATGAAGATGAAACAGAAGAGCCCTAGAAAGAACCAATCGACTCGAGTTAATTTGAACGAACCTAAAACTAAAGCAAGAAACTGAAACAAGAAAGAAGAATTGAATTGGAAGGTACTTATCTCGAGTTCTGGATTATCGGAACAATAATCGACGACAAATCCTCCCAATAACCTCGAATCGGAGATTGGAACAGTCATCTTCTGATTCTTCTCCTTTTGCATGTTGTTCTTTGCCTAAATCGATGAGGATATTAGGCTTTGATTGGTGGATAATGAATGATTGATAGCCTGGGTGGAGAGAATTTCGCGGGCGGGAGGGGGGGGGGGGGATCGAATCGATTTGAGAGGCGATTGAGAGCAGAGAACTGAGAGGAGAAGAGAGAGTGAGAGAGCGGCGCTTTTCCAATTAGGGATTAGGGTTTCTCTGCTCGACTGATGGATATATATATGCTCATAATACGACGTCGTTTTTATGGCTCGGGGCGGATAGCCTGGACTCCGTCACCGCCCGATGTCCGTTATCCACGGATAACGGGTTTCCCCGAATCCGTTAAATCACCGTCAACTCCGGGTAAAAACTGCTCCGCCCAGCCGGTTTTCGGGCGGGTACCCGCCCGCGCGGTCTGATATGCCATCCCTAGTATGAACTAGGAAGAGCCAATTTATTAATTTAAGCAAAATGAGTCTTGAAGGAAAACATAAAGGAGACTTGCCCTCATCCTCAATCCTCATCGTAAAAGGGTGTAATGAGAGTCAATTAAAGCAAAATGAGCTTTCCAAAAATAACAGAGGTTTGCACCCTTATCCTCACGGTAACTATGGAGAAATATAAGTGTCAGCACCACTATGCTACAAAAGACTTTAGTTGTTATATCAAACTTTCATTATATTTTTAAGTTTAGGGGGGGCATGACCCCCTTGATACACGCTGGTTCCATCCCTCGCAGTGTGTTGGAACTAATTATTTAAGGAAGACAAAAAAAAGTTGTCCTTTAGAGAGAAAACAAAGTTTATTAGGGTAAAAGATTTTAAATAATAAGAAATTTACCTTTAATTCCCACGGGGCAGGGGCCCGATCTCCCGAATAATATGTCATTTTGGGTTTTATTTTTTGAGATATAGGTAGCACATATATGTAGTATCGCACATTTAACACATCAAAATGTTAGCATTAAGGCTGATCATCTATGCATTCCATTACCGGTTAGCAAAATGTTAAACATAGTTGGCAAAATTAGATTTAGTACTCAGTTAGCATCCATTGCCGTAATAAATGAATTTAAACTCACATTTCATTATTATTGTAAAGTTGTCTTATTTTTTTCCAGTTTGTTTGATCTTTCATTTATACAACACAACACGTATAAAATGTGTTTGGTTTTGTTAAAAAAAATACATATAGAATGTTTAATACTCATACATTAAAACATGAAATCAATAATTTAATGATATTTTACTTATCTTCACTTTGACATTTGCATTTTGTTAGCATTTTATAACGGTTATCGAACTTTTAAATGTATTTTTATTTTAAAAATAATTTATAACGTTTTGTACGTACTAATATAGTAATGTACTGAAGATATTGATCGACGACAACGGTGAGTCGGTGAATAGGAGTTTCCGGCGGCAATTAGGGTCGTACCGCTGCTGGAGATTCGTAGCTGGGCCGCTGCTATTTGGGTTTGTGGAAAAATTGTTTAGAGTAGAGCGGGAGGAGCAAAGCCGCGGCCCAATTTTCCATTTGTGTATATAGCACAGGGTACTTGTTTAGGGGTTGAAAGCGGGCCAAATTGGGCAGCCCAATTTGTCATCAATGTGTGGGCTGGCTAGCTGCGGGTCCTTTTTCAGGGGCTTTAAATAGAGATGTATTCAATGACACTAATGCTCTTCCTAAAATTATGGGTTGCTTTTAAGAAGCTGATGTGGCAAACTCCATATCTGCACTACTGTATATATATTGGTTGAGGTTGATATTATGCGGGTTCAATGAAGCACCAACTCTCACTGACAGTAGGTGAGTCATGTGTATTTTACCTTCTCTCCCCTCACTCACTTTTCTGAAACATCCTTCCTATTATATAAATTTCCTATTATATAAATGTGAAGGAAGTTTATATTCTTCCTACCAAGATTCCAACTTCCCTTCTAAAAACATTAAAAAAAAAATCCTTCCTATTATATCAATCTATTCCATCATTGAGAGAGTTGAGAGAAGAAAATTGTCCCAGTTGTTTGTTAGATAGACAATATTAAAGCATAGAAAAAGGGCTGGGTGTGGGCAGAATCCACCATGGTAGTAAAATGTCATTGAGAAACATAACACTACTGCTGGCTCAACCTTTCATCTTCCTCTTCATCCTTCCCCCTTTTCCCCAAACCTCCTCTTACTAGGGGTGAAACCCATACAAATCGGAGGGGTCACTTTAAGCAGCGCAAAAACGGATGCGAGCAGAATCCACAACCCATATCCACAAATTAGCCCGAAGCTGCAGCAGGAACCATCACCTTAGCCTTCGCGCTGTCCAACTTGTGCCACAGAAAGACAACCAGGGTCCCCACGCACATGTCGATGTCAAAATACCCTCCTACCAGGAAAGGCACAGCCATAGCCATGGGCAGCGGAATCCAGTTCCCGGCTCGCTTGGGCAGCAAGTCCCTCAACATATTGGCGACAATGGCGAACCCAAAAAACACCCAACACAGAAGCAGGCAGTGCCAGGGCAGGGCAGAGAAGCCTTCAACTCCCAGGACCGCCATGTTCCTGTATATGAGGGCGTAGGGAGCCTTGTACTCGTTGTTTGGGTCCCCAACGTCGTAGGCCTTGTAGAACATGAAGAAGGCCAGTGGCGCGACAAAACAGCCTATGGCCATGCCAACAGCTTGGCATAGAACCATAGACCGTGGAGAGGTAAGGGTGAGATGTCCCGTCCTAAAGTCGTGCATCAAATCGGAAGAGATGTAGACGATGGACTTGATTAGCCCACACCCTACCATCCCTGCGATGACGCCATTCTCCGTCCCTGAGAGTGCTGCAAGTACAAAGAGGGCTACTTTGCCGTAGTTGTAGGGCATATTCATGTCTGTTAGACCGACGCCGTATGCGTTGCAGAAGCTGAGGGCGGGAGCCAGAATGTAGGCGACGGCTACATAGTACCATTTGACCTGGGGGAACATGAGAGGGATAACCACGACGGAGACGATGGAGAAGGCAAGATATCCTTTCTGGTAACGAGGAAGGAAACCAGTCTCCTTTCTTCCCACCAATAAGGGGCCACATTACACCGTACGAGACAACAGCGCCGAAAAGCAGTGACAGGTTGACAAGGCGGGAGCATATCATCCCCGCTCCAATGTATGTCATGCTGAAATCGAAATAGAAGCTGCAAAAGAACATATAATAAGCTAGCTAGCTAGATGAATCTCTTTTTTTTTTTTTTTACAAAAGATAATCATGTATATTGATTGGATCAAAAGATATTACATCCTGGATGCCAGCTAGATGAATCAATTTTCCATTGGAACCAATGATTTACAATTAGAGATCAAAAGAAGGATATTATTACTTACGTGTTTTTAAAGGCGGCCAATCCAAGCACTACAACAGAACAGGCCTTTAGCGACGGTTTTTTTATAGTTAGTGACGGTCGTAACCGTCGCTAATACTTTTACCGACGGACATGTGAACGTCACAGACTCAGCAGTCCTTAATTTTTTTTGTGATGGTTTTGGTCGACCGTCGCACTGAACGTCGCTATATTTTCGCCACGGCTGAAACTGTCGTTATTCAAAATCAAAACGTCGTTAAATGAATTAGTTTAAATATAAATGAATGTTGAAATATAAATCAGCGCATTTAGCAACGACAAAAAACCGTCGCCAAAAGTAAACCAACCGCCGCTAAATTATCTGACCCTTTTTGTGAAGAAACCTGCTCTAATAATTGCCTCTTGCATGCTGTGATTCCCAAATATCAATATTTAATAGTTTTAACTACAAACTCAATCTGATTTTGAAAGCCTTTATATTGAATCTCCAAATTTTAGAATAATCGTTTGCTTGTTGGATTTGGTACCCAAATCTCAAGCTTGATGGATTTAACCTAAATCAACATCTTCGCACCCCAGAACCCCCTGCTTTTATATTCATGGTTCACCAACTACCAAACTGGAAAATGGGAAAAATCTAGTTTTAGCCTTGTAATCACAGGGTAGCTATCGGGGCATTGGAACCTAGGAGATAACCAAATTGCACTTTTAGCCAAGGGCTGTTGACAACCATCTAACTTCTGAGGCTTAACTTCAATGATAGCAGGGTAAATAACAAGAAAACTTACCAGTCATTTTCCCCCCTTGATGTTGCAAGTGAACCAGCTCACCAAACTAATTGTCTGCAAACCTGTAAAATGAAAAACTTTATGAATGAGATTAATATAATTATAATTATGTAGAAGCAATACTTCCAGAGTGTAGTATGTATTGAGGCTTCTTTGAACACCCTTCATGGCTGTTGCCAAAATCAAAAGTCTGATTCATAGTTAGTGCTAATCCATGAAGTTAAACTCACTTAATCACCCTTCTGTTGTTTAACTCACTCACCTTCACAAAAAGGTCCACTTTTGCTTCAGGGAATATCCCAGCTACCTTCTCCCTTCTTACCAACTCACTTAAGAGGATCTGCAAGAGTTGATAAATTAGTTGTTAATTTCAGTCATCTCAGCAACATGAATTTGATATATCCAGAAGTTGAACCGAAAAAAGGATATCAAGACACTAAGGATGCAGAGAGCACACCTGGTGGCAAGGTCATCAATTAATCAACTAAATGTAACCTGATAGGATATTTTTTTTTGAAAACTTCTCCTACAATCAACAGCGAATGCAGTTATTAAGTCTACAGTGAGTGATCTGCAAGGGGAATTGATATAATTAGACCATATTTAGAGTGTTACTAAACTTTGTAAGCAATCCGAAGATAAATATCATAAAAATCGAAGAGAAAGGTTATGATATACAATTGTAAGCAATCAGAAGGTCATCAATCACCTACATGTATCTTAAACTACACATGCAGTTCACGTTCGATTCAGCCTTTGTTATCATCAATATTGCTTTACTTGCACAAGCCAAAAACATAGCATCACTCTTCAGAAACAGGGAACTTCAACACTATCTGCATAATTCTCAGCCTCAAACGGCTCCAAAGAACCCCAGGTTTGTCCAACTTTCAGTTTGACTTGCAGCAAAATTGGAGGATAACGATGAAGATTTGTCAGAACAGAGTCAGTATCATGGTAACTTACCATAGATAATCATATAAGACATGAATGGTTTAGATCAATTTCACCAAATGATAAAAAATTATACGGAATAAACATAAGATCAATAAGTTTATCAACTGTGGGATAATCTAGTCCAACCCCACAAGCATAACCATACATTATGCAAGTAAGAGTTACTATGTTTTTAACAAATTCTTGAACCTGCATATGTTCTGAACAGAAGTGTTTGATTAAACAAATTCTAATAAATGAACTAATGTTACATTCTTTTAGAGAATTCATTACTGTGTAAAAAGACATCCGGCAAGGTAAAATTTCACTTTTAATTACGAAAATAACATACGAGAACCAGACATTACAGTTCATTAGTGCAGTAGACTACAGTTAAACATGGCGGTATATGCAAACTATAACATGGTATTCTACTCCTTAACTACTTAACAAAGATAGTCAAAGTTTGATTGGGATCCCTGTACCTACCAAAATAAACCACTTACAGCATTGTTATTTCCACCAAAATTTGTGATATCAATAGGAAATCCATATGCAACTCATTCACCTTCAGAACTGCCTGAAACAGAGCACCACTTAGTAACTAATAAATGAACTAATTAAGGGGGAAAGAATATAAGCAAATTATTGCCACTGATGCAAATGCAGACTTGGTCAAGACCAGAAACCAACCCAAAATGACCACCTGGTGCCAGCTTGTTTATTTAACACAATTAGCGTAATACTATCTCAATGGGCATAAAAGTGACTTTTATCATTACCCTGAATTTACTCTTATCATTATGTAGGGATTTACCTGTGGCCATGTAGGTAGGAGCTGGATAGCAATATGTGCCCATGACTCTAGTCGGTATATAGCAATACGCACTCACCCTAAAGATTGACGGATTGAGAGCAAGGAGAAAAGGGGAATTGGAAAGAGATCGAGTAAGGATAAAGCGGACGAATAAGAGGAGACCGGGCCTCCCCTGAGTAGCTTATTGACGGTGGCGAAGGAGATAATGGATGTGATGACGAGCATAGTGGCGAGGATGCCGTAAACCTTCTAGATCAAACCTCATCAAAGCTAGTTCTCGCCAAGATCAAGACCTGGATACAGAGTCTCGTTGTTGTTGCCAGCCCTATATTCGGCTCCTTCCTTAGATCCTTCCATAACAGAGGAAGATCGCATTTCCAGTTAGCAATTCCATAGTTAGCAATTCCATATTAGTTCGAACAACTAATATAACTAGGTGAATATATCAGCCAAGCAAGCATATCTCAGTTATAAGAGAATTCGGTTCACACAATTCCATTACCAATTAAGAAAACCAGAAAGATACACTCTGTTGGCAGCAATTTTATGCAATTCAATCTAGGAACTAGATACCAATTCTTGCCTTCTTAAATCCACCTCATCAATCATCCCCTTTTCGAACTCCATCCACGCAGTTGGGTGCTTGCATTCCAGCAGTTCCTGCATAGACATTCTGGGAATATCAACTTTAAGTTCTGATCATTCATTCCAAACTTCCCAACTGCAAAGCATATCTCCCAAGTACTATCCAGGCTTGGTTTGATGTTCTGAACTAAAGTGCTGCAATTCAAACACTGCACAATCATATTCATCTATTTCTCCCAGTACTCACCTCCTTCCTACGAAGCATGCATGGGTGTTATTATACCAGGTCAACTTTGGTATAGTAACTTGAATCTTGGAAATTTGTAACTGACCTGAGACTTTGGAGAGCCCACCAAAAGCAGTAACACCCGCGTTGTTGTTAGCCTCTTGGTTCGTTCTACTGAGCAGCTCATTGAAGGTGACGAAGAACACTGTGGTAGTGATGATGAGCTGAGTGGCGAGGATGTCGTACAACTTCTGGATCAGACCCCATCAGAGCTAGTTCTCACCAAGATCAAGACCTGATATAGAGTTTCGTTGTAGCCAGCTTCCAGATCCGACTCCTTCCTGAGATCCTTCCATGGAAGAAGAACGCGTTTCCACTATGCGATTCCACGGGAGCTTAATTGAAACCCTAAAAATTGAAAAATCAATGTAATTGCAGAGGGAGTGACTCACCGGGAACACAGAGAAGTCGAAATTTTTAGGATCTAAATCGTCATAAGGCTCCGAGCTCCTATTCCGACGGCGCTGCTGAACTCCAACCAGTCACGCGACTCGCTCCACCTTCTTCCTCTCACAAAATCACTCGTATTACGATTAGTGGTCGCCGTCTCTTCTTTCACGAGTTCTGGTTTCACTAGATCTTTAGAGAAGGAAGGGAGAACTGAGATAAAAAAAAGAATATTATTACTCACGTGTTTTTAAAGGCGGCCAATCCAACTAGTGGGGTAAAATACATTGGATACCACTTAAGTTTGAGAATTGGGGCAGACATATCATTTAAGTTTGAATAGGGCGTCGGATACCACTGAACTCTATTATTTGTGCACCCGGTACCACTTAAGTTTAATGTTAGGTGCATTCCGTTAAAGTTAACAGAATATTCTTGGAATATTCTGTTTTCTAAATTTATTAATTGGTCCTTCTACTTTTCTTATTGTAAAAAATCATTGTGACTTATGAAAAACATCAATTTTTATTATTTAGTTGGTATACTCTTTTGAAAACTTGATACCAAATTAATTTTTGAATAGAAAATTTAGAATCAACTATCATTATAAGTATTTTCAATTATCATTATGTTTTCTAATAATTGAATTATTCTCTAAAGCCAATATATCCTATGAATTCTGTTTAGTTAGAATCATCTTTTGAAGACTTTGATACCAAACCAATTTTTGAATAGAAAATGTAGAATCAATTATCATTATAAGTATATTCAATTACCATTATATATTATAATAATTGAATAATTTGCTGAAACAAATATATCCTATGAATTCTATATCGATATAAATAATCTGAGGATGTTATATTTAATTCTCGTACATCATGCTGATGTTGTATAACTTTCTATGTTAAATATCCTTGTAATTTTCTAATATGATATTTTAGATGTTCCATATTAATTAAATTTACTAATTCTAATTCTCTTCCTATAGTCATATTTTCTTTTCTAGATTTGTTACGGAATGCTGTAGATTTTATTTATTTATTACTTGATTACTTCCGGTCTCTTTTCGTTCTAAATTTTCTTCAATTACTGGAATATGTTTAATTCTTTCTGACTGTGTTTCATTTATCCTTCTTTGGTCTTGATGTATTGATGATCGATTAGGTTCTATTTTAACTATTTTTTATTAGTACTTCTAATTGAATTAGCGATTTAAATAGATCTTCTAATATTTATTTCAAATATTTATTATTATATTCTATATATTTATTTTTCTTCTGATATTTGTTTATTATTTTTACTATTTTACCTATTTTATTGACAATTTTGATTAGTCCATTTAGAAATATTATGTTTAGAAGGTTTTTTAATTTCTATATTAGATAAAAACTTGTTGAAACATAGTTTTTGATGTTTTTAAAAGTTTTGGGTACCAAAAAGTAATTAAAATTTTGGGTTGGATGGAAAACTAGACGGATGCACATTTTGGCGACTTTAGTGGTACCCGACGCCCTATTCAAACTTAAGTGGTATCTCTGCCCCAATTCTCAAAGTTAAGTGGTATCCGAGGTATTTTACCCCCAACTAGTGTGGGGAACTGAACAAACCCACATAGGATTTTTGAATCTGGTGCACCACTGTAGAACCACTGGAAGCAAGCCCACGTGAAGCTAAAAGAAAAGAACTTAAAAGAACCCTCGGAGTTGCTTCCTGCACCACCACGACAAGTTTGAACACAAAAAACAAAGCATTATTATTTATTATACTAATCCTGTCATGTTAATTAATCAAGTCATCAGGGTAATTAAATAACTGGTCGTGGTCTTGTACATACAACTCACTTGTCATAATTATAACCCAATAAAATACAGACAGACCTAACCTCCCAGTCCCTGATTAGTCCTTAGCTTGCTTTCATTTGCTACCTTATTATTGGTTAATTAAGGAATAATACCATTGGAAATATCATCCTTTAGCGAAAGTGCCATTTATATTACGTACTTTCAATAAACACAAAAATATTCCAACGAATTAGTGGTTTGCGTCATTTGTGTTACGCGAATTTCTGTTGACCACGATGGCGAACCCAAAGAACACCCAACATAGAAGCAGGCAGTGGTGGGGTAGGGCAGAGAAGCCTTCAACTCCCAGGACCGCCATGTTCCTGTATATTAGAGCGTAGGGAGCCTTGTACTCGCTGTTCGGGTCCCCAACGTCGTAGGCCTTGTAGAACATGAAGAACGTGAGTGGGGCTACAAAACAGCATATGACCATGCCAACAGCTTGGCTAAGAACCATGGACCGCGGAGATGTTAGGATGAGATGGCCCGTCTTTGAAATCGTGCATCAAATCAGAGGAGATGGAGACGATGGACTTGATTAGCCCACACCCAACCATGCCTGCGATGACGCCATTCTCCATCTTGATTTTCTTAATTGTTATCTTAGCTTATCATTGTCATTGATATCTCATCGCGTCTGATCAATTTTAATCTTTGATATTGAACTCTCTGCTATAACTATGCATTCTCTATTTAAATCACTTTTACTTCAATTACCAACAGGGGCAAAGCCAAAAAAGATAGTGATATATTCTATTAATTCGATAAATAGATTGATAAAATCATATTGAAAATACATGTTTCAAATGCAAAAGGAAATTACCCTGTGTTTTGTAGTATTTTTCTATCTCAAAATACACATTTATAAAAACAAGATAGTTATCCCTTATAAAACAACTAGCCTCGTACCCGTCCCGTTGGCCAGATGAGTTTCGTTTATCATTTAAAGGGAGGCAAACCGCCAGATTAAGGAAGCACAAGGGCTACCAGCTCACCAACAGAGGCAATAACACAGAAGCCAGCAAAGGCGAACAAAAAAAAATCAGAAGAGAGTTCAAGGACTGTTGTTCTGAGGCACTTGACGAGGGAAGCTTACTCCAAGAATATCTTCCTGGCAGATCCTTTCCAGATCTAATGGGAGATCGTCCAATTCATACGTACCGAATGGATAGACGAGACTGTGCTTCGAGAGCCAGTCCGCAACTCTATTCCCTTCACGGTACGTATGAACTAAACAAAGTTAATAATTCTACATCACATCTACGCATTCAATACTGCAATTCAATATGTAATATTCGAATCAATGATATTTGGGTTTCAATTTTAAAATTTCCTCCATTTGTAAGATAGACAAAAATTAAATTTATTATTAAACTCAAATTAAAATAATCAAACTATGAAAAATTCAAATATCAATTAACAAAGAAAGTACTTACAAGAAAGTTAGTGGGCTAGCTAACAGTAGTGGAAAAGTCATATGATTTTTAGATTCCAGGTTTTTAGATTCTTTACTTAAAAAGGTACAAAAGATTTTTTTAGCGTAATTGGTAATGGTTGTTGTCTTAGTTTGGAAAGACCATGGTTCGAATCTCGAGATTGATGTATTTTTTTCTTATGAATAAAAAATAAATAATGATGGTGAAGACACAATTACCCTTACTACTTTCGCTATCATTGCAGGAAATTTGAAATGTTGAAAAACTGCCCCCAACTCTGCTATAATATATTTGTAGACTAGAATATAGATAGATAGATACACCGATAAGTTATGCACCGGATCCGCTTCAAAAAATAGTTGCAGGATTTTGCTCATCAATTGTCTGCTTGCTCTTAATGGTTCTCGCTTTTCCAGTGTTGTAGGACATACGTGTAGATCAAGTATAAAGTTGAGCTTATTGTGTCATGCCGGTAAAAGTGAGTAGTAAGTAGGGGTGTTCAAATGGTTATTATGGTTAGTACCCAAATAAGGCTAAATTTCATTAACCAGGAAATACAATATCATAACCAAACCGCCCAAACTAATACAACAACCAAATTAACCAAACTAAAGTTTAATCGGTTTGGTTAATTGGTTAACTAGATTAACCAATACAAAATCATATTATCATTAAATGAGAAATTTTCGGTTAAATTATCAATTCACAATTTATATAATGAATAAAACATTCTTATAAAAAAATATAATGAATAAAACATAACAATCAACACATAGTTATAGTTGACCCTTAACATAAATACATGCAACTAAAAATATTATCTTACGGTTAGTATAGAAGTATTCACCTAATAAAAATTTATCACAATGGTATGGGTTAATGAATTGTTGTGTTTGTTTGAATTGACTTAGTCTTTTAGCAATTTTGATAGGCTGAAAAGGACCTTGCTTTCAAGTTTTCATCCAACATAATGTATGAGATTTATCTAAATTAGGCGTTCATATGTTGTGGTCTACATTCTACATATACAAATTAGAGGAATTTTACAATGCTATATAGCATTGGTGCTATAGGTTTTTGCCTTTATGGTACAACTTGAAATTGTACCTTTAACGTTATGGTACAACTTCAGATTGTACCTATACTTTTTGTACAAATTCTTTTATGGTACAACTTAAACTTGTACCTTATGTGATGGTACAACTTCAAGTTGTAAAGTTGTACCATAACATAATGATACAAATTCTTTTATGGTACAACTTAAACTTGTACTTTATGTTATGGTACAATTTCAAGTTGTACATTAAAGCACCAATGCTATATATCATAGTAGAAGTGCTCATACAAATTATACATTATAGGAACAAGAACAAGTTTTATATTTTATGAGTCTAAAAGGATGAAAGTTTAACTCTTGAGTGGTTATTTAAAGTATTAAGTATGTGTATATATTAGATATATGACTAATTATTTATCCGGTTAATTTGGTTTGGCTGGTTAGGAGTGCCTGAAACCAAACCAAACCACCTAAACCAAACAAGCTAAAAACTTTAACCAAACCAAACCAATTATCCAAATTAACCAAACCAAATTATCCAAATAGTACTGGTTAAAACGATTACCATGGTAACCACAGCGTTTAACACCTCTAGTAGTAAGTAGTAACTATCCACTTGGCAAAGTTGGCCGTATACCCAGTGGCGATAGCATCCCAAGGTGGATTGGTTATTAATAGGGGTGTGCAATGGTCCAGTCTGTATCAGACCACACCAAACCAAACGGTTATTAAGACCGGATCGAACCAGATTGAGTAAAATGCGGTCCGATCCTTGGTCCTCATAAATTTTATAATTACTGAAGAAATGGTGGACCGGATCGAACAGGACCAAATACAAGAATGGTCTGATCCTTGGTCCTAACATGTCTTTCACTAATGGATCACGGTTCTCATGAATTTGATCCGGTCCGGACCAAACCGAACCATTGCACACTCCTAGTTATTAATGCAAAACCTTGGCGGAGCCACAACACCACCTTGGCTCTGCAAAACACAAGCAAGAATCATTATTAATGCTATGGAAAGGGGAAAGTGGAGGAGCGTTCCTCCTCCTACCATCGTTGTGGGAATACCAAAGTAGAACAAAAGCTTTTCAATGGAGAAATGACTCCTCTACAGAGCCCAATCTCTTATAAATTGTGTATACGGGCCTAGTATAAGTTAGGGTCCAAATGTTGGTTTTATGTTTCACTCGTGTTCTTGTCTAACAAAAGAACAACAATAACTTTTGGTTTTGTAAGCCCCTCTCCCCTCTTTCTAGGTGTTTAATGGGCATGTCATAGGTGATTGGCTAGAGACGATGGTATCTTCGTTTTTGGCTGACACGATTCTGGTCCTTTTTCGGAAGAATTCCCAGAATACAGCAAAAATTATACATAATTCCCGGAATACATAAGTTTTATAAAAATTTTCCAAACTACCCAAGTTTCAAAGGGTTCGAGTTTATGGGACTCGAACTACTCACCAGTTCGACGATAAAAAACTCGAACTAAAAACGGATCGATTTTTAAAAATTCTATCAACAGTAGATCGATTTTGGAGGACTCGAACAACAACGATCGATGACAAAGGAATCGATCTTAGTAGATCGAGTATGGAAAACTCGATCAAGTAAGATCGACGCCTAAAACCTCGATGTAGTGCAACGACTTTAACGCACTCGATCTTAATCTGCACTAGATCGAGGACTTAAAACTCGAACTACTGGCCCACAGACATGCTTCAGGATAGGGTTGCAGGGATAAGATTTTTGTTGTCATAGATCGAGTTTGAGAGACTCGAACTAGTGTAGTTCGATTACACTAAACTCGAACTACTTGCTCAATCATTCTGTCTAGTCGCTTTCGATCCGACATGCTCCAGAATAGGGCGCAGGGGGTAATTATTGGTCGACATAGATCGAGTTTAATGAACTCGAACTAGTATAGTTCGAGTGTATTGGACTCGAACCACTCCATCAGTTTACGATAAATAAAAGCCATCACTTAGCACATTCTGGCAGCACTCTTCCTTTCTATCTTCTTTCTTCCAAACACAAACTGCAGCTGCTGGAGCACAATAGCTGAGCAAAGAAGAAAATTTTTGGAGATAAGTTCTGCTTACTATGTTTGAATGAGCATATTAGAATTTTAGATTAATTTAATAATGTTTGTACTGTATGTAATGAGCTGCTTGTATAAACTGCAGAAATGGGTAGAAAATTTCGAAAATTCGACTTAAAGATTCGGTGGAATGGTCGAATTACACACTTTCATGATAGTATTGACTACGAAGATGGTGAATCAAGTATTGTCCGGATTGAGAGCATATTTACTTGGCAAGAACTCAGTCATATTTGTGCTGAACGATGTTGCATAGCAGGGCGAAGAGTATGCAAGATGACTTACCGTATGCCGGTTTACAAGGATTATGCACTTGTATATGAAGGATCAGTTTTGTCTGACGATGATGACATTAATATGATGGTGAGATTTATTGCAGAGAACAGATTTCCAAGTGCTGAGGTGTATGTCGAAACAGAAGTTTTTGGCCAATATGGTGGCGACGGTTATACCGAACACGGTGAAGGATCGGGAGGGTTTTCCAGTTCAGGAGATTTTAGAGTGCGGCATGATGCACCATGGCCAACATACGAGGATCGAACTGCAACTGGTCCATGCATGGAACATGACGGACAGGAGTGGCCAGTATGGGGTGAAGAATGGGATTACATAAGGGCACCCAGATAGTCACCCAGACAAGCATCTACACCAGCATCTGGCATCAACAATGATCCATATGTGGATAAACCAAGTCCTCCGTACACTAGCGAGGCAAGCGACATGGAAGATCAAGAGTTAGAATCAATGAGTAGTTCAGATGGTGAAGATCTGGAAGTTGATGAGGGGGAATTTGAGCTTCCCACACCTCACTACACGATGGTGCCACAACATCCTCTCTATGCTCACAACGACGATCCTGACCTCCCTCCTATACCAATATGGACTCCTGACTCTGGATTCGTGGTTGGGATTATCATAAAAATAAATCATAGGCTAAGACTAAGACAAATAATTTCAACAAATAAAAACTTATTCATAATCGTAAAAATAAATCATGGGCTAAGACAAATAACTTCAACAAATAAATTAAAAATAAATAATCATAAGCTAGAATGTTACCTCGTTGAATTCTATACGGTCAAGATGTTGGCGGTACCCGTCTAGAGAGGTGAAACTCGTGATAGCTCCAATCCATCTAGCACCATAAGCCCATTGTCGTAGTGGCTCATCGGGACCCCAACTGTTGGCAGGGCAGATCGGAGCGAAAGTAGGAAGGTGCTCCCAAACCCATAGTTGGAGGATGAACATGGGACCACCCGCTTGCTTTGTTTTCGGATCCGTACACTTGCACAACTCCGAATATATCATCGCCAAACAAGCAGATCCCCAACCTTTTCTCCCAATCTCGTCCCAATCTTCCAAAAGAACTCGAAGCCACATACAATGCATATTTCCACCAGACTTGTTCGGAAACAAAAATCCTCCAACCAAACAAATAAGGTAGATGCGAGCATACCTCTCTATCTGAGCATCCGTGGCATCCTCCGGTAATTCCCCAACGGTCCTCACTAGCCAAGGTATCAATAGCATAGACTTGTGTAGAGGTGGTACACGACGACCTTCTTCTGCTTCCTCTGGGATGATGATACCTAAACGCTCGCTTATAAATTGGCCCCAACCATTCAATGGTTTTGAAGAACTTTCTATTATTGCATCACCATCGATTGGAAGCTCTGTCAGCATGGCTACGTCCTTCAACGTAATCGTCATCTCTCCCTCTAGAAGATGGAATGTGTGCGTTTCTTTTCTCCATCTTTCCACCATTGTCGTAAGAAGGTTGTTGTCCATCTCCATCCCCACAAACTTTCGCACCCTCAGCAATCGCGCTCTTTCAATGAAGAGCTCGATACGATCATCCCATTTAGGCAAGCGAGATAGCGACCGATGGGTGATTACGTCAAGTTGTTCCTGTAGAAAAAAAAAACATTAATTATTATACAAAAAAATTAGAAGAATACTATCACATTAAAAAAAAAGTACATGAGGAAGTGCCTACCGGATCTGCCGCCCAAACACTTTCAGACCGATGGTAAGGTTGCTCATCCAACAAATCGGTTTCTCGCGGTCCACCTTGAATGTATAATCTAAGATCGTAAATACTCGGATCCATCTCGACAATTTTGAGTTATAGAAGTACCAAACTAAAGAAAAAAAATCTGATGCGGAAGATCGGGCTTAGCCGCAACCACAGAGCATATTTTTTTCTTCAAGAATGGTGGGAGGAAGAGAGGAAGAAGAATGGAGTGGTGTGAGTTTTGGTGGAATATGAGGGGTATTTATAGGTTCTGTGGGAGAGTGGATCGAGTTTACAAAACTCGAACTAGTTCATCGATTTTTGGGCGCTCGATCCGCGTCAAAAGCAGTTCGTGGTTAAGCGCATCGAACGACCCAGATCGAGGTTAGGGTAATCGATCAACGGTAGATCGAGCCTGACATCAGCGATCCGCGTCAAACTGATCGATTAAAGGAAAATCGATCCACTACATCGAGTTTCACCCACTCGATCCGAGTCATCCCTGCTTCG